TCGACCGACAAACCGAGGATCATCCCACGGATCGTTTCAACTCACTGGTGACCTTGCTGACCTTAGCAACTTATAAATATAGGCTACCCTCTGGTTATGTCAAAATAGCTATTGAAAATGGCCATTTATAGTGAGTTTTCCCATAAAAAATGGTGATATTCCATAGTTATGTTAGTTTACCAGAGGATAAGCCACGTATATAAAGGGGCCTTACAAAGCAAGGTTGTCAACCAGTTACGATCCGTGGGAGGATCTTCCAAGTTTTATATCTTTCTTATCATAGTTGGGATGTACCCTCTGGTTATTTAACATAGCCATGGAAGCCATGGCCCATTTATAGATGGTTTACCTATTAATAGCATGGTGATGTTCCATGGCAAACTGTTAGTCATAACCAGAGGGTATATCTTTCTTATCACAGTTGGGATGTAAATGGGACAAAGGCCGACAGAGGTGATAATTGCTTCTGGCCAGGTTCATGATATCAAACACAGGGGATATGGCCAGGTTCCCAGGTTCTGCGAAAATCTGTAGCACTAAGAAACCCCAACAAATTGTATCATGGTATATAATTGGAATATAACCGACATTATGGTAATTGGGTTTGTCCAGAAAGTGGGGGATACAACAAAGACACAATCACATGGCATCAACGAGCAAAGGTGAAAAGTGAACATGATGCTAACCTCTCAATTCTGAGGTCGGTCAAAGTACCATGTTTTCAGACAACACCATATTGGAAGCAATGAATCAATTCATCATCCTAAAAGAAAGACGTTGGACAACAACTCCATACAACCAACAACCCCAAGCGGTTGGATGGAAATTGTTTATTGAACACTTTATCTGAAAACAGGGTAACCCCAAATTTGATGGATCACTCTCTCTCTTCCAAAATCTTTGGGTGGTCAATTTTCAAAACCATTTAGCAACCCAGCAACGTCAAAGGTGTTCATGGCCGATTGAACTTAGATGGAGGTTGGTCGTCAGTCGTCCATGCTTCCAACGTGATGCAAGAGTTTCAGAACGACCTAAAACGGTTTCACTGAGCATTAGTGACCCTGAATCGTTGAATTTCCACGGAACGTATGGAACTTGGATGTAATGCCCTTTCAACATCTTTCAACATGTCAGGAGGATAGACTGAAACCTACAAATCAGGGTATATCAGGTATATAAGACAAATATTGGTTGGTTGATCAGGGTATCTCAGGCTTTCCGCTGTTGTTTTCACCCTCAGTCAGTAGTCATCAACTGACTCAGAACCTTGGTGATTGTAAGTTTAACTGTGGCTATCCCATAAGTGGCTTAAACCATTCACTACAGTCATGACCGTTTACCTCTTATAAGTGGTTGTAACTTATAACTGGTTATTTCTATGGGATTATACATTCCATAAATGGTGTTATCAGTACTTATACCTGGTATTTCGGGCCGTAACTGTAAGTTAAATTCTCCCAAGTATCTCATTGATCTTTAAGGCTTCCCCACGAAGGGATATGTTTCGCACCATTCCCCCAAAAGCTCCTATTGTCTCTAGCCAATTGAATATTGCCGTGGAAACCAGCAATACTCTAGATACCAACAAAATGAGTCTTGAAACCAACACATGTCCCACAGTTGCAGCCCTATAGCCAATTATCACAGGCTGAGAAAACCTCATTTAAGGGCTATATATATATATAACCAACCAGTTGTAGGAGTTATTTCATTTCATGTACAAGATAAACATAGTTATAACTCTGACGGGCCACAGCCGCAGACGGCTGCGCCTTGATATTTCGTCCCAAGAACTCGGAACCGTCCAGGGCTTTCGCGATCTGCGCAAGGGCGGGATTTCGAAAGGTACGGCTTCCGCGAGGTTTTTGCCCAAAGAATCACATACTCCCCCGATTGGTCTAAGACCTAACCAGAGTTTAACTCAATGGGTTGCCGGGCACATATCCCATGACGGATCCATGGTGCTGGTATATATATGCTAACATAAAGGGGGTATATTGATGGTAAATGTTACCATATATAGCATACATGAATCCTATGGGTATTGCATAATATTAGCAGGATGGAACTTAAGTCTTATATAGTCACTTTGGAACCAACTTTGGAACCAATATATCTGGTGTCCATGCTACGTATGGTCGGTATGGTCATCCATCCCATCATGGCTTTGTAGATGGCTGTAATGGATTGATGACCATCACAGAACATTAGCTGGTTGGTGGTTCACTGGATTGGTTTGAGGGAAAATTTACAGGAAACCATGGTTTTTACCATCAAATATAGGGCTTTCCTGTAAAATTTTCCATCATCCAATTCTATGAGTGGTTGAGCCACCCCTCTGAAAAATGATGGAGTTCGTCAGTTGGGATGATGACATTTCCAACATATGGAAACATATTTTAAATGTTCCAAACCACCAACCAGTTAGTCAATTTACCCAAGTCTTGACCATGGCACAAAAAAAACAGCAACTGGCCGAATTGGAGGATCAATTTGATTCCTTTCTCCAACATTGACTGCGGAAATGCGTGGATAGATGTGATGCAACAAGATCCCAGAAGTGCTTTTTAAAAAATCAGCATGTCAATGGGAATTCCAGGATCCTAAAATGGAGGTACTGTACCATATAAGGCCAAATTTTGTGGTGATATTCACTTACATAGGCCTTACATAGGCCTTACATAGGCCTTATATATGGTAGGTACCTCCATTTTAGGTTCCTGGAATGGCCATTGAGCATGTAACCGTTACCGTTCCTGTGCGGCAGGTATGACACGGTTCAGGAATCAACTCCCTTAAGATTGGACATGTCATCCTTTTTTTGGGGGGCATAACGAGGTGTGTCCATTGTACCTACCCTCTGGTAATTTAACATAGCTATGGAAAATCACCATGATTAATGGGAAAATCCACTATAAATCACCATTTTCAATAGCTATGTTAAATTACCAGAGGGTACATAATAATCGAGCTGTATCAGCCACTTATCATGTTGGTTGTGTATGTCATATTTTTGTCCAAAGCTCTGCCAATCTCAGGGTCTATCCCACCGAAAAAAACGGAGCCATGATGATATATGATACCCTCTGGTAATTTAACATAGCTATTGAAAATGGCCATTCATAGTAGATTTCCCCATTAAAAATGGTGATTTTCCATAGCTATGTTAGTTTACCAGAGGGTTAGTTACTATAACCACTTCCTCTCTGGTTATTTCACATAGCGAACTGAAATCATCGGAAATCCATGGCCAATTTATGTCGTTCGATTGGCTCAAGGTGATGTGCACAGCCCTTTTTTGGTGCACGCGTCACATTGGTTGTCCGGCAGCTTTGAATGGTAGCTGTCCTCGCCTTTGTGGGTAGGCATATAAAGGATTTCCACATTTTTCGAATGGTGATTTTCCGTAGCTTGAATAGTCAGAGGGTATCTGGGGAAATGGTTCATAATGGTTCTATATCCGAAACAAAATTTCGCTCGGCCGGGTTTGAATTTCATCCAATTCCCATCATCTACGGAGGTTGGTCAAATGGGGTTGCCTTTAATGTACCCAAATAAACAATGTATATATATATTATTATATTATATTATATTATATTATATTATATATATTGTATATATTATTATATTATATTATATTATATTATATTATATTATATTGTATTGTATTATATTATATATATTTATTATATTATATTATATTATACTATATTATATTATATTATATTTTATTATATTATATTATATATATATATTATAGATATATTATATATATATATGTATATAGATATTGTATATTAGATATGTATATACCAACAAGAATGATTCCAGACGGAAGTAATTCTACCATATTCTACCATAAATGGATATAAATGGAGCATCTAGGTAACATCCAGATTCATACGCTCCACTGCGCTTCTTTTGCCTCGGTCGATGGTCGGAGGTACATCCGAATCTTTGGTAAATCAATACCCAACTGGTCATCCGTGTATGGTATACTTCCCGACATGTCTAAAACTAAAACCATCCAAACATCTCTAGATGTCAGAAATTGACTCTTTGAATCTGTTTGATCTGCTTTTCGTAGGATATCAAATAAAAAAGCCTCCATCTACGGCTAAATGAAGCTACTGACATTCCAAGCAAGGCTCCAGATGTAAATAAACCATACATGGATGGTATGGGATACATCGGATAAAAATGATGTGCCTGGTACCTTTGACCAGCTTACAGTGGCTTACAGCGCCTAAAACAGGCCTTGAGAAGATTTTGGAGCAACCAACTAGCTCCCAGAATCTTGCAGCTAACAACAAGAAGCAAAACATAACACATATATATATAATTATAGAAGTTTCCTGGAAACACATTGCAAAACATTATACACAACTAGCCAAATCTAGAGAAAAGATGACAAAACAGGATACGATCAGAGATCATCCGTATGGTTTTGCCAAAAAAATCTCCTGCTGCAAGATCCATGTTCATCGATGCGCAAGCGCGCGCGGACCCACAACCAAAAAAGTTCGAAAGTTGGCCCTTGGTGACTTTAGGTAAAGGTGCCAGCCACCAAACACATATTCCAAGTAGATGTCCTGTATCTACAAGGTGCTGTCCCCCGTTATGTTTGTTGGTTTATAACCCCATGAATACTTTAGCTATATCCCCCGAAAACCCAACAGTTAGGTGAACTCTGCTTAGCAACTTAGCGATTTCGTTAACGGGGGGTGCCACCAGTTTGCAGTGGATGACTCAACAGCAAATCCGTAAGCGGAGCGTTTCAACAGCCATTTTTGATCTGCGTCCATTGGAATCATCTGGGATCATCTGGGTGTTTCTCAAGCACATGACAAACCATACCGTTCTATGCACAACATCTCCAAACATTGCGGTTGTTCTTTTTGTGGATTTCACTCGACCACTCAGAATTCCATGAAAATATCACTTTCAACATCACTTCAAGATGTTTTGTTTCACGCGTAAATCCCGTTGAAATCCCATTTCTAAATCATTTCTTCGTCCAAACTTTGTAGGACCTGCATCTCAACTTCCGATTTCCTCACGCGCACATTCTCTGGGGACCTTAAGGTCAAAGGTGGGATCTGAACGGAAAACACAACATTTTTTTCCTTCCGGTGGGCCATGTGCATTTGTGCATGTTTGTAGGTCATTTTCAAACTTTTTTCATATGGCAACCATGTGGTAAACACATCTAAGTCCTCAAAGAGAATCAACATATGTCTGGGTAAATGGACTTAAGGCCATTTGGGGATGATTTCCCTTATTAACCATGATTTCCAGTGAGGTCGCAGTGAGGTCGTTATAATTTACCCGGATATGTGTATGATTACAATCCATTCAGTCTGGATCGCAGGTAGGTGCAGGGCCCTGAAGCTTCTAGATCTATTCACTCGATGAACCTGGACATACAATCTTTGGGGGCAAAATGTGACTGAAAAATCCATGGCTTGAATGGACTTGTGAGTCTAAACCTACTAAGAAGAATCTTTAAACACTTAAGATTCAAGTATTACTCTCTGGTAAACTAACGTAGCTATCGAAAATGGCCATAGAAATAGTGGATTTACCGATTATAGTGATTTTCCATAACTATGTTAGTTTACCAGAGGGTAACCATGTCACTTGGATTCTGCATTTTTGTTTCAGGCCTTCAACGAAATTGACAGCTGTACTTGTTGGCCACAGGCAAAAACCATGAGGGTCTGACTAAGACCCAATCGTCCCCTAGGTGCTCCAACCCGGGAATTCCCACTATAGAAAGGGGAGGTCAGTTACTCCCCATAGCTTACAATCATCCACCAACTGGAGTAGCCACTGCTCACATCATTCTCCGAAGTTTTACTGATATCTAACTTGTGGAAAGTTGGTTGGCTGTATCCCCATTCTAGTCCCCTTTTCCGTTTTAAACATTAGGATCTCATACAGTTATAGCCATCCACAGTTATAACTGACTTATAACCTCATTCAAGTGATATTTTTCACCAAGCATTTGCAGGAGTTATTTCATCCCATGGCCATCATTGTTAAGGACAACTACCTGTATTCCCTTTCTCCCGAACATTAGGATTTCCTACAATGTAAGGCCCCCAGTTATAAGTTGGTTTATAAACCCCATCTAACTGTACTTATAAGTACCATAATAAACCCTACTTATTGGAGTTATTTGCACCAACTTAGCTATCGAAAAAGGGGGGCCCACATTGTAGCCATCACAGCGTCACCACCTTCAATTGCCAACGATCCAAGGGACGTCACGGTACCACCCGTGGACAAATTGCCTGACCATTCCAGCGCTGCCAGTGAGGGAATGATACCCTCTGGTGATGACTATCATAGCCATGGAAAGCCATGGCCCATGAAAAAAGATGGTTTACCGAACTTAAAAAATGGTGGATCCTTCCATGGCAAACTGGCAATGTCATAACCAGATGCTATCTGGATATAGTAACTTCATAACCCCCTAAAAAACAATATGCAGAAAAGATTCATTTTTGTTTACCACGTTTTGAGGATTGGATGTAATGGATGTGAATGATTTGGAGAGTTGCATTGGTTTATCACCCTTGGCAGCGACTGGAGATACCTGCCATAGATACCAAACAAGATCATGGCCGTTCTTAATAGTTGCTTACTTCATCCCAGAATGGAGGCCAATACCATATGTATACACATGTAACCTCATGTGTCATTGAGCCATATAGATATATGTTATTACAAGGTCTATCTAAGGCCTATCTAAGGCCTATGTCAAGGAATATCATCCCAATAAAGTTGCCCTTTTGGCCCCGAGATTGATATGCTTGGTTTCAAATGTCTTCCATGAATCTCTAGGGTGAATCCTCAAAATCTTGAATGCCAAGGTATAGTTGTGGGGAATGAATTATTTTTTTCAGCTATCTAATCATGTTTACCTAGAACATACCACAAAGAGACCAAGCAATCTCTAGATAGTTTGTAATTGGGGGATTCGACCAACTGCATGGAACCGCAATGGATGTTTTAATTCAAACATGTTTTTTGGATGTGTTTGGACAGTTCATAATGGATCTTGATGGTCTCCCAAACAGTAAGAGTCCTGTACGAGGATTTTAAGGACATTGATACCCTCCGGCAATCAAACATGGCAAATCAGCAAATCCACCACTGATGTTCAACATCTTCCCAGCTAGAAATCTCTATTGAAATCGCGGATTTCCCAGCTAGCCATGTTTGACTACCCTCGGGCAAATCCCCATGACATCCCAGGTTAGATCCAAAAAACATCCCCAGTACGATCCCGTACATCCCGAGGACAAAACCCGTGTTTCTTGGTTACCCTCTGGTGAACTAACATAGCAATGGAAAATGGCCATTTATAGTGGATTTTCCCATGAAAAATGGTGATGTTCCATTGCTATGTTGGTTCACCAGAGGGTAAATGCTATGGGTTTACCTCTAATTATGTCTGATGCTTCAACCCAACATTCTTGTTGGTGAAACCACAATTTACTACAGGAAAATCCCTAGCCATCCAATGTTTCAGAAAAAAACATGGCATAACAATGGGATGCAAAGTATATGTTTTTTTCAATTACATTGTCGGTTCACGACATGTTTCCTGCATAGAAATGGCTGTTAGATATACATGGGATTGTAACTCCCGCAACTAGTTGGTCATACATCTATATGTATATCTATGGTTATATCTATCTATCTAATTAAGCTAATTGATTTAAACAATCTAATGAATCTAATTGATCTAAATTATCTAACTGACCCAATTGATCTATCTGATCTATCTGATCTATCTGATCTATCTGATCTATCTGATCTATCTGATCTATCGATCTATCTGATCTATCGATCTACCAAGCTTTCTATCCTATCTATCCTATCTATCCTATCTATCGTATCTATCTTATCTATCTTATGTATCTTCTCTATATGTCTATCTATCTATCTACCTACCTACCTATCTATCTATCTATCTATCTTTCTATCTATCTATATACATATATCTATATCTAACTTATCTTTCCTATCTATCCTATCTATCCTATCTATCCTATCCATCCTAGCTATCCTATCTATCTATCTATTTATCTATCTATCTATTCTATCTATTCTATCTATTCTATCTATTCTATCTATTCTATTCTATTCTACTCTATTCTATTCTATTCTATACTATTCTATTCTATTCTATCCATCTATCTATCCTGTCTATCCTGTCTATCCTGTCTATCCTATCTATCCTATCTATCCTATCTATCCTATCTATCCTATCTATCCTATCTATCCTATATGTCCTATCTATCCTATCTATCCTATCTATCCTATCTATCCGTTCTATCCTATCTGTCCTATCTGTCCTACCTATATTTCTATCTATCTATCTCACTTTACTGAGGTGAACCAAACCAGCTATAGCTGGCCACAAAGACCTTTAACCATCCCATTAACATCCCATTATCCTTATTAGACCATATAGAATCACTATCAATCCACTGCACAAAAAAAGACCGCGGTACTATAAATGTTAAGACCACTTAAAACTGTTTATATATCAATAAATTTCAATAGATTTCAATATATATATAGTATATATATATAGTATATGTATATATATAGTATATATATAGTATATATATAGTATATATATATAGTATATATATATCGCTGAAATGACGTGAACTAAGCCACTTATATCGCTGGCAACAAAGGCCAATCGAACGGTGCAATCGAAAGGCTACTGTCTTGCAACAACTGTCGTCGTGCCACCACCACGTTGTAGGCACCTGCCGGCCGCCAGGGCCGCCAGGAGAATTCCGGGAGAATTCGGTCATGTTCGGTATCACCCGGTGGGGTGCAATTTATACCGTGAATTTTAAGGGAAAATGATGGGAAAATCTTGGGAAAATGAGAAAATCATGGGAACATGATGGAAAATCATGGGAAAATGATGGGAATAGCATTAAAACTGGATATAAAACTGGGATAACCATGATAACCATGATAACCATTCAACAACAATCATTTTTTTGTGGAACAATGATTCACCATACAGGGGCCCTCAAATTTGGTAGCTTTCTGTACAGTGGCGCCGGCGAGTTGGCCTCTGGCAGTTGGGCCAATGTTTGTCTTCATGTTAGGTGTTCCCCAAAGATTTAGGATTTTCCTTGTTCCATGCATACATATTATCATTGAGATTGATGTATATATATATATATGTATGTATAATGTTAGCACTATATTAGCCATATTCATCCATATTCGGTATTAGCTACATTATTATATTTATCTCAATTGACAATAATTATAAACATATCCAACATATTAAACTTACTATATAAACCATCATTTTTGATACAATGTGAGGCCCCCAAACGTTATAAGTTGGTTTATAAACACCATGAATACTATAGTTATTTGCGTACCATAAACCCAACAGGTATTGGAGTTATGTTCACCAACTTAATTAGCTATCATAAATCAGCTATAAATCCCATTAAACTCACATGTTCCTATAGTTTCCATAGCCGGTTTTCTCTTGGGGGCCCCACATTGTAGGTAACCAGGGACATGACACCTCAACCGGCCACGACTCCAACACTTCTCAGAGATCCGCGCCTGCACCCGTCCTGGGTGTCTCGGTGATTCTCGCTGAATGTGCCATGGTCAACACATATATGATGTGCGTATTTAATTATATAAGATGTAATGAAAAAATAATGGAAATATAATAGATATGTCATGGGACGTATATATATATATATGATATATGGTAATATCATGAGAATACAATGGACATACGAAGGTGCTACAGTCATAGCTTGTAGCAGTTATAACATGGTATAACTGGTTTATAACCTCACCTAAGAAACAAATAAACTTTTAGCAGGACTATAATCCCATTTGTAGCTGTTAAGGGCCATAACCGACAGATGATATACGCTTTATGATCATCCATCGCATTCCACGGGAATCCTACTTGTCAATGTATATATAAATCCTTTTGAACATGGATTGATGACAATCCCCCAATATGGGTGTAGTATAGAACAAAAAGAAATAAAGGGAGCGGAAATCCACTCTATGGCATCTTTAATGGAAACATGGTCAAACATCCTGATATATAGCGAACCAAGTAGAGATTGTTTAGGTGGGTACCTGAAAATGATGTGGAAAGTATTCCCGTCAAATTGAATCATCATCCCGTTTCTTTGCAGGGAACATACAAAATGAAACGACCAAACACAAGTTTTAAACATGTTCGCCCCAACATGGACGTTGCTCCACACTGTCAACCGTCATAATGATCAGCATTATCATCATCACATCATGATCCTCATCAGATTAAAATTCGCCACCCCCTCTGAACAATATGTTGACTGGGGCCATAACATCAACTTGATCTTCATGATGGGTCAAAATTTGCCACCCCCTCTGCACAATATGTTGACTGGGGGTAGTAACATCAACTATATCTCCATGAGGGATCAACATTATCCGCCCCCTATCTTCATGAGGGATCACAATTCGCCACGCCCTATGAACAATATGTTGATTGGGGTAACAACATCAACTTTATCTTCATATCCACCTGAAGTCAGACGTGGCGCAACGTCAGGGTTGCAGCGAACATGTTGAAATGGTAGTATAGCCACTATACGTGGTCAAATTGCGATGTTTGTCGGAAAAGCACCATCAAATTGAGAGTTCTTGCATAGTTGTCAAATCCTCAAAGCTACCAAAATACCATCTAGGCCCCATCATGTGGCTGGGGACTGACCCGTATCAAGCAAACAAAACATATTGTGGATATAAATATATATATATACATATTATATATATATTATATATATATTTACATATACATATATATATATACATATATATATATATACATATATATATATACATATATATACATATATACATATATATATATACATATGTATGGATATTGCACAAAACATGCAAAAATCTTTGGTGTCCTGAATATTTCCCATGACATCAGGCCTATTTCACAATATGTCGCGGCAGGCCGTGGCTACCCACAGCCTGGAATTTCTATGGATTTGTCCAAAGTGGAGATACTCTCAAATGCTGTTTTTAGGATGGGAATGATGAACATATATGAAAATTGATTGATTGTATATATATATACCTGGAAGCCAAATGACCCCTCCTTTGGATGGTTAACCTTCAATTTTATGGGTCAAAACCTTGAAAACAAGGGTCATTTGGGTTCCAGGTGCATACATACAAAAGCCTCTAAAACGATTCAACAAATCACTGCAAATCTCATAGGCACAGCCGCAATCGCTACGACCCCCCTGAAAAGCTTCGCCCAATGGTATGGACTCAAAAGCAAAGAATCGCTACGACTTTGACCCTTGACTGTATATAGCCCATTGCTGGAGAACAAAACCCACATTTCTTGCATCTTTTGTCGCGCTTGCGCCAAGAAACAGATTGGTCAAGGCATCTTGGAAGGCCGCCATGGGCATGGCGTTTAAGCCCACACCCACAATGGCGTAGAGCATACTCAAGCCTGCCACACGTCCCGCAAAAACGCGACTTTACGAAAACGGAAAACGGATGAAAACGGAACAATCACTTTGCGAAACAGCAGCAATTTGTGGACAAACAGTTTTTACCCTCTAGTTATGTCAACAGTTTGCTATTGAACATGGCTCATTTATAGTTGATTTACCTATTAAAGATGGTGATTTTCAATAGTTATGTTAGTTTACCAGAGGGTAAAACATTTTCAAACATGTTCAAACATATAGATTTAAAAAACAAAAACCTTCTGAGCCTTCTGAATCTGTACATCCGAAGAGCTCTGAAATGCTCAATGCATCGATACTTTGAACATGTCAGCCGTCTCTGTCACCCTCAATGGCTTGTGGTACAAGTGGTACAAGCTCAATGGATTCAGGCTGCAAAAAATACTGTGAGATTATAATCATCTCGACATATTACTTGGCTATACCATGCTATACCCATAGGATCCATGTATGCTATATATGGTAACATATACCATGATTATACCCCCAATGTTAGCATATATACCATACATGGATCCTATGGGATATATAAGTGGTGGAAAACTGGTAAATGTTGGCAATATATGAGAACATATGTCGAGATGATCATATTCTCACAGTAAATGATCATTTAATATGGTTGGTGGCTTTAACCCCTCTGAAAAATGATGGACTTCGTCAGTTGGGAAGGATTAATTATCCCATACCCTCTGGTAATTTAACGTAGCTATTGAAAATGGCCATTTATAGTGAGTTTTCCCATTAAAAATGGTGATTTTCAATAGCTATGTTAGTTTACCAGAGGGTATCCCATATATGATGGAAAATAAAAGCCATGTTCCAAACCACCAACCAGTTGGTCCCCTTGAACTTAAAAACATCGTGGCTTCGTGGTGCCCATTTTTGATACGTTTTTCTCCATCAAGCCACCTATCTCCCCAGCCGATTTTCTCGATTTATATCCAGCCGAAACGAATCTTTGGTGATATCTGGTTGACCAACCAACAAAAAAATATAGGGGTGGCTATGAAAAATCCATACAGCAATGGATATCACATGGATATCCTGTGCTTCAACGGCTTGCAGGGATTCAACGGTCACGACGTTTCCTTGAGACCCAAGCCGCCCGGCCTGCCCCAACGGGAGAGAAGTCGAAGGAGCACCACTCACCCAGCAGAAAGATACAAGTGTAGTACCTGGAGAAAAGCATGGATTTTTGGATGTTTTCTTAGGGAGATATGGGGAGTTCAACCAACAAAAATGTGACACAAATTGTGAACATATGCAGGGTTTTAACCGAACAACATTGGACAATAGTGGATAAATTATGGGGATATCAAAAAAAACTGTGATTCATGGTAAATAACAGAACATGGGAAACCTTGATATTCAACTCACCAGAATTCTTGAACTGATCTCGAATTGAATTGGAAGAAGCGACTTCACTCTGAACGTCACTTTACACGTTGTCCAATCATTTTGGCAACATATTTGCTTCTTTCAAGTCTGCATTCCCAAAACACTGCCTTCATGCGTATTGCAAAATTGCAACGGCCATGCGTCATGCAGAGGGCTTCTCAATGCTTTGTATCATGGTGATTTACCTAACCCCATGGCTTTCCCCGACAAGGATCTTTTCAAGGACTCAAGGGCTCATTAACAAAAACAACTACAGCCTATGAACCATCTATTTTAAGCCATCGGCTTGGAGGCTGAATCTGACCTGGGCTATCCCCACCTGAATTCATGATAGCACCGGACGTGAGTTCAGCAGTACTGGGTACCCTTTTGCTCTATCTCTCTCTCTCTCTACATGTATACTACACTACATATATAAATATATATTAATTATACTTGTTCATATATATATATATAGCACTAACTGGGTCCTAATATGTCCTAACCACTGTATCACTGTTGTATAATATGTGGCTAGTGTTTTCAACCCCATCCCCTGAAAACAAAAAACAATTGGGTTCATCATCCCAAATATGGTTGAAAATACAAGACATTAAATCAAACTAAAGGTAAACCAAATAACATCAAGTTCCTGGTTTTCAATCAAAACATCAATGTGTTATGTTCAAACGGTTGCTGTGTTCAATGTATTTCAAAATGGATAAACACATCATACTATTACAACACAATGAAACCACAAACAAGTTATGCAATAGATTGTTCATCCAAGTAGAAAGCCCACGCACCCGCGCCGCGCACAAGGTGGAGAACATGTCTGTCATCCCCACCGCGCTCGTTGCACCCCCCTGACGGGACACAGAACATGAGGGGTATCCTCCGAAAAGACCCTCCAATAATCAGACGTGGCACTGGGAAATTATCGGAATACATGGTGGCATTATACATAAAGTACCTACATAAATGACTGGAATAGTAATAAAGTACCTATTATTTTTTTTTATAGATGACTGGAATATAGGTACTTTATGGCACTTTATGCTACTTTATTACTATAAAAATCATAGGTACTTTATGGCACCATCTCTAGATGGTGGATTTTCCAGCCATGTTTGAATTTTTTGGTACCAGAGGGTAGCCCCCCAAAAAAATGTCATATTTACCCCAATTGGTTATGACTAACGTAGCTATGGAAGCCATGGCCCATAGAAAATCATAGAAATAGATGATCTATGATGATATAGCTATCAAACATGGTGATTTTCCATACGTTAAATAACCAGAGGGTAGTGGTAAAAAGATCTAACTACACCATGCCATGGGGATTTTTTGGGGCACCCCATTTTCAGAGAGCGCTCCGAGGTGATCAACGGCAGGACCTGTGAAAAAAAATGGTGACCAAATATGGCAATTGTAAGCCCTGCATGATGATTTGCATCATGTCCCTCTCATGGTAGACTTATATATCTGCTTCTGACCGGTTGTGTTGTTGGAAGAAACGCTGCAAGATGCTGCAAGTCTCCTTACACGGCCGACCCAGGCACTGAAGGACTTTATCCAGTGAGTCAAGCCGTGGATATTCACTGCTCGGAAATCGGAACAAATGCCGAGAGGAAAGACTCAAAGACACCGACGGCCGGTATATTGTGTTGACTGAATCTAAAACCAGAATTGTTCTTAGCTATCATCCCTATATTTTCCAGATATTTCATTTGTTGCCCATGCTCTCCATTATATCGCAAAAAATCTCCCATTGTATTCCCATTTATGCCACAAATCACAATCTGATTTTACCCCATTACACTAACAAATAATGTTTGTGATGACCACCCCTATGAATAATCATGTGATATTAAAATCATCATTGTTTGCTAGAAAATCAATAAAACATAACAATTGTTGTGTTAGTTATACCTAAATAATTCTTGGACATTGGCAACAAATTTGATAGTTACTAAACTAATTTGGTATAACTATATAAGTCAATGGGACTTTCATGAGCCTAAAATAGAGCTACTGGTACCATAGCGCGCCTCTGAGAGATACCACAAGGTCGCACTGAGAGCCCAGAAGGTACTGGAGACCTTTGAGCCGCCCAGTGGTTCACGCCGTAAGCCACATTTACGTGTATTTTGGTGTACCTAGACCCACCAAGTATCTTTAAAAAATGCTGTTTTGCCCCATATTTTTGTGGTACGTTTCCCATTTTTGGGGGTTGGAGGCTGTATGTGGCTGCATAGAGTGTGATTGAAGTGTCTGAAGTTCATTGAACCACTTCATTGCGACTTGAAATCTTAACTATAGCTATGACTGAGTATACTCATAGCAACTCATAGCTATACTTAAGATTTCAAGTCGCTTTTTGATATGACCCATGTGCCAGGCTTTTCACCATGTCACCAGCTGGGGTTTTGCCAGCTTAGTTCTCATCCCCCACTTGGATTTGCCAACCATGTCACCCCCTGGCCAAATCTTGGAGATTTCCCAGCAGTACCAACGAGATTTCCCCAATTTGATGCGTAGGAAATTCCCATGAAGTCATCTTGCGATCACCGCAAGAAAATCATGGCTGGGGATCATGGCTGAGGATCATGGATGATGGCAATACTAAACCATTTTTTCTGGCCGATCTAAACATCATTTCCGAACCTGCTGTTTTTGTGGTCCAAAAAAACAGGGAGATATCACCTATTGCAAGTGCATGAATGGGAGAATTGTTATTTTCCTACATGGTTTCCTTTTCACTTGCCATGCACATCGAAGTGGTTGGAACATAAGATACCCTATACATCATCTTCCTGCTTAAATGCCTATATTTTGTAAAATTCCTACAGTACATTGTATTTGAACAAACCAGACTGTGAAAAACACGGAAACATGAAGATCTCTGCATCCTTTATCCAAAAAATAGTTTATAATATATCCCATAGGATCCATGTATGCTATATATGGTAACATTTACCATCATTATACCCCCAATGTTAGCATATATACCATACATGGATCCTATGGGTATAGTTATATATATATAATTATTTAAATGATATATGCATTCCTCTTTGTCCCTCAGTTTCGAATAAAGTTGAAATTGCCAACTGAACAAATATGGGTCTCATGAAAACTTTCCACAATTGGAGGTTTATGATTGGAATTGTCATGGCCAATCTTAGATACCCTTCAACAAATTTGATGTTAGCTGGTGAGCAAGTCTCTCTCTCTCTCTCCCTGTATGTATATATATATATTATATATATATATATAAATATAAATGAATTATATATGCTATAGACCCGTGTATAGCAAAATATGAAGTTGTACCAAACTACCCAGTTGGTTGACCTACAATAAGGGTGTTTCCATATGTTTCCATGTTTTCTCTGGTCAAAATTTGATGCTGGTGAACCCCTCATTTTCGTTGGTTGAATCCCTCTCCGTTGTCCACGTTCTTTTTTGCCACACCAACGCCACAGCTTGCCGTCGCACATCCGCCAGCCAGCGCCGCGCAGTGCGGCCACCGGACGACGCGGCAGCACGCAGAGCTGAGCTGTACCTGTCACAGGTTGAGTGGTTGAGCCACCCCTCTAAAAAATATGAGTTCGTCAGTTGGGATGAATATTCCCAATATATGGAAAAATGATCCAAATGTTCCAAACCAACCAGATCTACAAATATGGATGTTTTGACTAGATTGGTTGAAGGGAAAATCTACAGGAAACCATTATGTTTACTCCAAATTCAGAGTTTTTGGCAGATTTTCCCTAAAAACTCAAGATTTTCTTTGGCATTCAACATGGTTTTCATTAGCTGATTTAGCTACAGAAAATTGAGATGCGGGTGCCAGCGTGAAAATTGCATAATCCTTCACTCATTGTGCTGGAGTTTTTGAGTTTTTTTTGCCGTATGCGATTGCAAGCATTATATTCCGGACACATATGTAGTCAAGTTGCCGATCTTTCCTGAGACTCGATATACCACATGTTCAGATACACAAACATTCAATACATAGGGAAATCCCCGCAAATTAAAAAACATTACATACAGCAACAAGACAAATTTGGTTAAATTTTGGGTTTATGATGCGCATTATTGGGACTACTGGATACTCCATTGATTAATACAACAGACATCAACATATCTCATATAAAATAAATAAACAACATGGACAAACAGTGTTTTTTGGTGAAATGGGGTAGCGAACTCATCCAACATTGAATGTGACCGAATTCATGGTTATTTCCACATGAATATGAATAATATACATTACGGGGTATACAGGCATGCTGCATGCTATCAGCCATAAAAAAAATGGGTTCAGTTAGAGACATGGTATTCCAATTTCAATGACATGTTAAAATATCTATTGACGATTTAGGGAGGTGTCCTAACTAGGGGAGGATTTAAATGATATAAACGGCTTAACCTGCACGCATAGCATTATCATAATTGTTTTCATGTGTAAGCTCCATAGAGAAAACACGATTTACCAACAGCCTGAGGGTCCAACTTATATAACCAGTAGATAATACCAACGTTACGACGTTAAAACTGAGTAGAACCGAACAATACAAGTAGGATCAAGTGCGGTATACCCATGAATTGGGGTTTGTGGGGTAAGCATAGCAACACACACACACATTTGTTTGAACTTTTTGGGGATGTGGTTCATGATTTACTGTTTCATGTTCCAATACCCAATCTTCCCAAAAAACAAATCCCCAAAATATGTCTGATTCCTCCGTTCCAATAAGATATGCCCAATTTTCCCCAAGAAAAATATGTCAGATTCCTCGCTGGATCCTGGGGCACGTGATCATGTTCCCCTGCTGCTGGCTTTGGTGCAGTTCCTCAAGAAGGTGCCTTGGAGCATCGCGGATGCATGCGGAAAACGAGTATATAGTATGGGAAGACGATGGGGATCACATAGGGAAAACAATGGTAATGTTATGGGGACAATGTAGGGATAATATAGGAATCAAATGTGATATGGTCACCGACAGAATTATGGAAAAAATAAAACGTTCAACTTAGACAGGCGGCGCCTGCGTCCGATTTTTCCATAATTGGATTTTTCCCCATAAGGGTTCAAAATATCCCGGAAGTGATCCGAACCTTTTTTTTTCCATAATTCTTGGAGGTGGCCATTATTTCCATAATTGACTTTTCCTGTGAAATCAGGGGGCTAGGGCAGATTGACCGGTTTTTCCATAATTATTTTTTCCATAATTAATGTTTGGGGCTCCACCTGTTGGACATGTCATGGATCCACAATTCAAACCCGTTTTTTTTGGAGTTATGGAAATATGTATGCAAATGCAAATATGTAGTATCAACCCAATTGGTGGCTTGGCAAAAGGAAACATCCAGATATTATGTATATCAATGGCAGGCTTTAAAGGCATATACCAGATCTTTAGACACATATTTTCTATAATTCAATATTCCCCCTTAAAATGCATTCAAATTGCGAACATCACATGATATTATGTATATCAATGGAAGACTTAGGGGCATATACCAGATCTTTAGACACATAGTTTCTATAATTCAATATTCCCCCTTAAAATGCATTCAAATTGCGAATCGATGGACAGTCACCGACAGAATTATGGAAAAAATAATAATTATGGAAACAATAATTATGGAAAAAAAAAGGTTCGTAACTTTTCTATCATATACAGGCGGCGCCTGTAAATTGAAACGTTTTTTTTTCCATAATTCTGTCGGTGACTGTAATTCCATTTGCTTTTGGTATATTTATAGGTTTTGGTGATGACGGGGCAGTGTCAAAAGCGCAGTGGAATATCAGCGTATCACCTGCTTGGTGTTCATGGGGACTGGCTCGCGGATTACCCCCGATGTTTTGGGTCGTCGAACTTCCTACAACCTAAACCAACGGAGGTTTTTGATACGGCTCAAGTGGTGATCTGACTTTAAACAAATAGGAATTGAATCCAAACGCTGGTGATCTAGTCTACAACAGCTTGCAAGTGGTTGGTTCGGTTGGTTCGTGTTCATCAGACCCAAATTGACACTACGTACCTCAACCTCATGCGCGTCCCCGGGTCAGGGGGCTATATGACAGCATTTCAACTTGCCAGAATTTCCAAATAAACCTAAAATCACACAAACAACATGTCCGGCTTCATTAAATAATGATTTCACATCTTGGTGGTTTGTTAATTGTTGGTCCCCTGCTAAAAAAATAGTCGGATATAAACCCGTTACATCTAGCTGTGTTTCGCATCCAAATGATGATGTGGTATATCAGTATATTATCATGTTCGTTGCTTACGGCTAACCAACCAGCAAAATCAGAGCTTATAGTCTTGTAAGAATATTGTACTAATATTATATACTATGATTATACATTTTTAAAACATGCTATGTTCATGATACTATGATTACTGTATTATACCACCTGGTTATTTAACATAGCCATGGAACATCACCATTTTTAATAGGTAAACCGGTAAACCATCTATTTTTATGGGCGATGGCTTCCATGGCTATGTTAAATAACCAGAGGGTATTTGCTTATGTGGCAGTGTGTCAAAACCTTGTACCCCTGGTGAACATAAAAATAGCTGGTAAATGGATGTTCAAGTTCATTCCCCTAAAAATGGTATTAATAGGTAATGATCCATAGCCATGTAATACCATTGTATCAACTTAGCTTATTAAGAGGGTAAACCTCCATTTTCCTATGGTTTTCCGATGGTTATACCACTATATTGTACCCCCCAAGTTCCTCCAGCCCATATCCAGTCCATCCAGAACTGGCGCTATCCACCGGGTTCCGGGACATAGCCATGGGCCACTGCCAGGTGTATTCGCAGGCTTGGATGGACACCTGGAGACTTGACTGACGGCCAAAGCTGGTAATTTTGGCAGGTCAAACATGGTCAAAAATGGACATGGTAAATCACAAGGTGGTGCCCCCATAGTTAGCTAAGTTGGTTTATAACTCCCATAACTATGGTTTATGGCAGATATAACTATAGTTAATGGGGGTTATAAACCAACTTATAACTGGGGGGCACCATCCTGTAAAGAATATGGTAAATCACGGCAAATCATGGTAAGACAGGATCAAATTAATGCTAAATCATGCTAAGCATGGTATTAGACATGGTATACTGTATATATCTATGTTGAAGGCAAACAATAATATCTAAACCTTTGCCTGAATGATTTCCAGTGTTCAAACAAACCCATATTTGTATGTACGAATATCTGGAAATGGTCCAGTGACTTCCTAAATCAACCCATCCTTGCAATTCCGGTGAGGTCAGTCAGTGGACTCCCTTGAAATATGCTCAGAATATGTTGCATCGGGGCTTTAAGGCGTAGGTTTGTCTGAACATCTTGGGAAAAACCATTTCTCATGAGATGTTTATAACTATAATTATTAAGTTACTAACTGCAACTATATACTATCTGGTTAGTAACTAGGGTAAGTTCAGTTCTTTTACATGCAAAAAAAACATCCGGTTTTCCGATCACTTTCCTATATCAATGGATTGTTTTTTTGGGTCAAATCGACAGGATACCATGGTCTTTACCAGTGTACGAGTTTCCTGTAGATGTTCCCTTCATCCAATTCGTGGATAACAAGAGATTGCCACAACTTGAACAAAACACTAAACATCTATGGGATAGTAGCTGTTTTTTTTTTTTGTGTTTTTTGTTGTTTTTTTTCTGGAGAGGGTGAAAAAAAACTGAGCCATTTAAGGTCCTGATAAGGTTGGGTAATGATAAGCCCAGGAGAGGCCATATTGAGGTCCGCCGCGACACGCTGTAGGTGATGACGTTCCCATTCAGCTGGCCCTGCCAAATCAATGGAGCCGGACAGTTAGAAACGAGAAGGCCACATATATCTACCTTAGTGCATGCTATCAGTTATATCATATCATCCTACTTAGTAAATTCATATGATATTAAAATGATATGATACGTTGGTTGGTTATGATGGTTATATTGCCACGTTGTAAAGATGGAAGATAAATGCGAACTTATCTTGGCCATTTTGACGGTCATGATGATTGTGATTCTCCGCTATTGTTCATCCATATCATATTGAATGAGATAATAATGATATTTTAAGATGTCTAATGAACATTCTCAATCTTGATACCCAACGCCAAAAAAATAAGCCTATGCTATGAAAATACGACCCAACCTCACTACAAGTGAACCCAGACATCATTTGCCCATCGTCAGCATCAACAAAGGCAAGGCCTTTGAGTTATAGCCCTTAGCAGTTATAACTGCTTCGTAAGCTCATTTAAGTGATATACATATCTAGTTGGTTAATAATGGTTAATATATGGTTATTATATGGTTAATGATGGCAAAATAATATTCTGGTTGGTGGTATACCTACCCCTCTGAAACATATGAGTTCGTCAGTTTCTTCCCAACTGAATGGAAAAATAAAAATGATCCAAACCACCAACCAGCATTTCTCATCACAGGTTTTCTGATCACTTTCCTATATCAATGGATTGTGTTTTTCGGTCAAATCGACCACATTAGTTGCAGGAGTTATTTCATCCCATGAAAACAACTCTTTAGGGCTACTGCATGCAGAGAGTGAAGTCATCATCTCGTTGGGGGTGATTCTTTCCTCAGCAGCTCGGCAGTTTTTTATTTTGTTACGGGATGGCAACACGTTTACCGATCGTCAGTGGCCAAACAACAGGAAATCTCCATGAAATTGTGGTAAATTATTGTTATTATACATGAGAAATACACTAAATAGCCATCACTAAGTTATACCAAATACGGAACAATCTGAGCATCAACATTGTAAACATGAATACTGTTGCAGCAAAACCAACTATCATTGGTGAAATCCCTATGCCTATATATAAATACTATAGATATAAATTACACTTGTAAATATATACCAAAATTCCAGCGGATTCCAATTCAGATCGTATACCACCATAATCCATTAAACAAAGTATCAATATGTGGGATGCCAACTACAAAATACCAACTACTACAGTATACTAACTGAACACATCACTACCATTGCTGACTAGTCACTGTTACGTTTAAAACAATATCTGTACACATTATTGGTGGCATACGTATCTATTATCTGTTATTCTACCAATATCATACTCATCTGAACAATGCCAAATTCCTCTGGAATTATATACTTCCAGATTGGAATAATGCCAACTCCCATTAATTGTATATCCATTATACCAATTCCTGTGCTTGAGATTGCCATCAATAGTATGATCAAAATATACACACATACCCACAATTCAAATAGTATAATTACCAATAGTTATAGCATAGTAAAGTATATAAACAATGTATAATAGATTAATTATATTATATCCACAAATATCCATTATTCCAAGTCATAATTTCAATGACGCAAGTTATACCAATATCTAAACATAGTGTAGCTTCTTGTTGGCATTATTCTGAGCATTGTACCCATCCGAGCAGTGTTCAATACCCCTACAGTATTTGCTTATAGTTATAGGGATTATACTCTATACTACATATTTATATATATAGAGATTTGGAATTTCAATATATATATATATATATTGTATATATATATATATATTATAGGCTAGGGGAGTTGGAATTCTCACAAGGCATGCACTCGGAAAATATCACAAAGCGACCAGTTCTTGAACACTGCCGCCTATCCCAAGAACGCCAAAGTCTTCCGGCACATGCTTTAAAAAAGCAGTGAAATCCCCATCAAATTAATGTCAACCCTGGATTCATAATCTCCTAGGCATTAAGTATCATATTATCACTAGTTGGAGGCTACCACCTTGATAAACCATGGTTTATTCATCAGGGGTTAACATTATCCTTAAATATAATCATGCGGTCTTGCAGCCTATTATTATCCTTAAATCATAGTAAACCATAATTATACAATATTTTATTATATATAAAACAAAAAAACACTACAAGAACCGCTTTAAAAATCACTATAAAAACGACTCCATATCTGACTAATTAATAATTACTAAAACCCTCCAAAAAACTGCTGCTGTTTCGGCCTCCTGCAGCTCTTCCAACAGCGCCAGACTCTGCCCCCACGCGCCCGCGGCCACGGCAGCGCTCACCGCGGCGTTGTACCTGTGGCGGTGCCGCCAAACGACGCACGACGCAGGCGGGGATTGCGCGGCAGAACGCTGGGAATTCACCAGCAAAAACTCAAAAAAATGATGGTTTTATGGCTGAAACATGGCAAACATGGTGGTTTTATGGGTAAAAGATTGTAAAATATGATGAACTCATCTATGTTATGAAGATTTACTGCAGTTCTTTTACCCACAAAAGTGGAAGATTGCCAACAAGGAGAGCTGGTACAAGCAAATATATGATGGGGTTTTAATGAGCAAGAAAATTGTCAGGACATGTCAGGACCAAGTTCAACGTAGAGTGAGACCAAGAACAATAGCCGCTTAAGAAACAAATGAGGTGGGTTTACCAACAAACATAGGAGGGCTATAAGAAGAAATGAGGTGGGTTTACCAACAAATGTGGGTGGTTGCACAACAAACATAGGAGGGCTTTCACCAACAAACCTCATTGGTTTACCAACAAACATAGGAGGGCTAGCAAAGAAGAAGAAATCCCATCACCCTAGTATTGTATAAATACCCCAATATAAGCCTCCAAAAAGAACGTATCGAATACTAAATCAGGCTTGCTATGGGAGTAGTTATATAATATTCGGGGAGGGAATTATGCTATCTGGCTATGGGTCAAAAACCCTGATACCCTATGTACCCTAAAATAGCTGGTATAGCTGGATGTTTATTTCCTCAAATATGGTAATTTCATGGGTTTTAACCCATCTCCATTCGCAAAATGTTTAACCGGAAGTTTAGACCCTCCAAATACACCCAAAAGAATGGCCGGTAAAAGTATTACAATCATGAGGTAAAACACCATGTTTATGGCTACTTCTACGGTTGGAAGGTCTAGGTATAACGAAGAATCTTGGATGAAACACAAGCCCCGCAAGCGCAAAATGATCACGCACCTTACTTGCCTGGGACCTCCATGGCAAACATCAGCAACCAGCGACCATCAGAGGTGGTCCCAAACATGAAATCTGTGTTGGTATATAGATATATCATATCAAAATATATCTAATATATCTACTAATTATCTCCTACTAGTAAGTATCTACTATACGTACAAAAAATGGTCTGATTTTGGATGATTTGGGGGTACCACCCATTTTAGGACACCTCCTGCTTGCAAATCAGAAATCCAACAGTTAAGCCACTGATTTCAACCGAACGCGATTCCGAACTGGGGCAGTATCATTGGCTGTTGGTTTGAACCCCTCTGAAAAATATGAGTTCGTCAGTTGGGATGATGACATTCCCAACTGAATGGTAAACTAATCCAAATGTTCCAAACCACCAACTAGTATAATTTAGATTCATATGATACTAATGGGATGATATCACCATATGCATCATATACATTCCATTAATATACATTCCATTAATATCCCATTAATATCACCATGATGGCACGTGACGAGGTTGGTGACCATTCGCAGACTCAGCATGTCCGCGAGCAACAGCATGGCTCGCTGCCACTGGAAACCGTCCTGCGAAGTCAGATGCGGATCATGTGTGGCCACGAAAGTGGTTACAGTTATGGCCGTTTACCCGGCCTGGTAAACATACAAAAAGCTATTGAAAATGGCCCAGTCGAAATAGTTGATTTCTCCATTAAACATGGTGATTTTCCATAGTTATGTTAGTTTACCAAAAATATACCAAGTATAAGTGGTTGTCACTGGTTATTTCTATGGGATTAAAGATTTCATAAATAGGGTGAAAAATACTTATACCTGGTATTTCGGGCCACAACTGTAGATCATATTGTAATTGTTCCACCATCCAATTGTGGGTTCAATATGGTTCAATAGGTTTGAGCCATACTTTTGTCCTCAAGGGTCAGGTGACTGTCAGGCGTGGTGTTATTCTCTTGCACATCTCCTTTAGGGCTGGTGATAGCATCACAAAAGCAGAGGGTATCCTGTTACAAAAGTAATCTAGCTATGCTGTTGTTGATGTCGGTTACAGTATAATATACATTGAAAAAAACATGGAACGCGTGAATGACCATTGTTACCATTGAAATTATACAGTATTTCAAGCCCATTTGGTCTCGGGATCCAAAGAAGAACTTCAGCAAGCATTGCTTTTCCGAATCTTTACTTGGGTCTTGGTGCACATTCAACCCCAACCCAAAAAAGGCTTTGAATCTGTAGTTTCGATTTATTTCAGGTATTCACCACAGCTATCTCGAACATTCCCAGTTCTATGAAATCTTAGGTCTTGGATCAAGTATCACAGGATCTTGCAAAATATCAGTGTCAAAACAAAGGATATCACCATAAATGATATCACCGGTGTGATGTGCCTTCATGAGTTTTGTCTGTTTTTTTTTGTTTTTTAAGTAAAGACCTGAAGCCCATGTCTTGATGATTGAACCCCCATAAACCCATCCATTTGGCCCAATAATTCAGGGGTAAATCCGCTGGAAACACATCCAACTATAGACATCTATAGATATATCTACAATGTGGAGCCCCCTTCGAAATCGCGTTCAGTTGGTGCTTAAATAAATACAATTTCACCAGCTGGGTTTATGAATGTTTATGGTACTTATGACGAACTCGTTACATGAGCTTATAAAGTAGATATATCTACCATAAGCACTAATTAACCTCCAGTAAATTAACATAGACCCTGGCAATTCTCGGGGTTGGAAGACTAGTTTCCATTAAAAAATTGCTATTTTCAGGGTCTATGTTTATTTACCAGAGGGTAACCTACTTTTAAAACCACAAAAACTAGGAGGTACCACGAAAACCGTACACCGAAAAAGCACGTCGGGCAGCCAACTTGTTTTCTGGAATCCCATGAGGTGGTGCCAATGTTTTTCGCGAAATTTTCGTATTTCAATGATGTGGCGAAAACAAAAAAGTAAACCGCTACTTGGTGGCTCATCCCACGGCTCGTAAGTGAGTTATAACCCCAATTATAAGTGGATTAACCCTACTTATCCCATTTATAACTGGGGTTATAACCCACTTACTAAGTGGGATGAGCCACCAAGTATGAATTATCCTATTATAATCCCATTGAATCCCATTATAATCCCATTAAAACGGAAATCAAATCACTAAAACTGGTTGGTGGTTGAGCCATCCCTCTGAAACATATGAAAGTCAAATGGGATTATTGTTCCCAATATATGGGAAAATAAAATTCATGTTCCAAACCACCAACCAGATAATAAACCATCCCCAAAATCACCATTTTTATAGGTGGTCTAAACATGTATAAACCATCAAACATGTGGTGGTTTATTCTTGTTTTACCCACATTAGGGTTTATGAATGTTTATGGCAATTTCATACATCTTATAACTACAGAATTCAAGGGGTGAAACAACAAAACAAAACCAACAAACATAACTGGGCGGGCACCACCCTGCAGTCACCGTTAAAAAAAGTTGCTTGTTACTCCTCGCATGCACTGATAGCTGAGCTGTAGCTGATCACATCAGCCTGGCGATGTCGATGTTGGGCAAGGTGAAGCCCGCCCAGTGATGTTGCTCGGTATAAACCCTATGAATACCATAGACCCCCGTTTGAAATAGCCAAGTTGACTGATTAACGAACGGTGAACTGTTGGGTTGATTGGGAGATAATAATGTAATGTCAACTCCGGATTAATAAACCATTGTTTATTAATTGTGGGGGTACCCTCCAAATAGTCACTTTATATGATACATAAATGGGACCCCCCAATTAAACAGCCGTTTGGGGTTTATTAATCCAGGGTTGACATTCCCATAGACCCAACACTTAAGCAAGTTATGTGCGTTCACCTAGCTATCGTAAACAGGGACCTCACCCCTGTATAAATCTGACTGAATTATAATTAACGGCTAACCGCTTGCGACCATTTGCGGATGATTCTCCGCAATCTAATCATCATAATCATCATTCTATTGACGTCACAATGAGGTAATTGTAATTCCTCCAGATAAATGACTGTCAATATGGTTTGACCACCAAACATAGGGGATTAACTGGGTCTAGCAGTCTAAGCATTGTACTCATTGGTACTCATCTAGAATTCGGGTATTGTAAATTATAGAACCACACATCTGATGTTTGGCTTTGTCGAAAAAATCTGGGACACCGCAATTTCTTGCAAGTTTCATGAGGAAAATAACGATTTACCAATGGATTTTGGATAATTAATTACTATATCTTAGAATTTAGAGACAAACACACACTCACGCACACAAATTGGATGGTGTGATTATAAACATAAACGATAGCAACATGTGCGGATCATTTACGAGTCTTGCGTTCTTGCATAGTTGTATGCCTACATGTTTGACACAAGCCTTTGAATGTAGAGTTTCTCCTTGTTGACACAGCAATCATTTTGTCACAAGCAGCTGGCTGATGGAAAGAGACCCGTTCTCAGAATCGCTTGCTGACCACTGGGGGATTTTGTCCATACCAACAAGGGGTTTTGAGACCACTGGGGGCACGAATCTTACCAAAGTGGACATGGAAACAAACATATCTGCACCCCAAACCAGTCAATCATATTAGCCTTTTTACTATAAATCATATATATTTTGTAGTAAATAGTAGTGGGCATGTTGCATGTTAAAGCAGGTTCAGGATAGAATCCACAAATCAATGGAATGACATCAAAGAAATGATCATGATCTGTGCGAAAAAAACACTCAAATTGGGCTTCCCGGCTTCCAATGCCTGTTTCATGAGGGTATCCATCATTATCATCATTTGTATCATCCAGCAGGTACGAGATTCTGAATCATGGGTAAAAATACCCTTCAGTACACAACAATGGTGGGATATGATTGTTGTTACTGCTCAAAGAACATCAAAGAACCAGTAAAAACGGATAAAAAGCAAAGTATATGCAATGGTATCACTTGGAAACGTTTCACAAAGGGAATACAAATAGACTTTCAGTTTACCCTCTGGTAATTCAACATAGCTATTTAAAATTGCCATTTATAGTCGATTTACCCATGAAAAAGGATGATTCTCCATTAGCTATGTTAGTTTACCAGAGGGTAATTCCGCATCTTAGTTACAGAATTGGGTGGCCCAAGCGGACCAAAAGTCACCACAGAATATCTTAATTGGCAGATTTTATAATGATTCATACATAGTGGCCTTCCAAAAGATAGAGAACAGTGCTTCCAGAATGGTGTAGCCATGTATGTTTCCCCATGTTTTCCCATGGTTTTTCCGCCATGTTTTTCCTTGGCCTTTTCGGCATCTTTTTGGGACCTTTTTAAACCACCTGACCTCAACTGCCGCGTTGCGGTCACCTTGAGGTGAAGATCCTCCAGGCTATACAGCAAAAACAAGGCCTAGGATCTGCCGGGCCGGGCCGGTTGGACTCCGTTTTTTTTTTTTGAGTTTTGGAAATTTCATGTTGGAAAATTATAAGGTGAAGACGATGCTTTGAAAAACAGCAACATTGTGAAGCAACAACAATATGACCTATGGTTTGGTTGAAGATGGAACCCAACAGTTTGGCTGTACACAGTAGGATCATCTCGAGGACCCCATTTTCAGGTCTTTTTTTGTGATTTTTTGGAGGATGAACAGAAACAAAAATGGGTACCGAAAAAATCCAGGAGTTTGGACCCGGAGTTTGGGCTATTTGGCAAAACTTAACCATACAATGTGGGGCCCCCCAGTTATAAGTTGGTTTATAAACCCCATTAACTATCATTAACTATAGTTATTGGAGTTATAAACCAACTTAGCTATCGAACGGGGGCCCCACATTGTAGGATATGTCAATGGATGGCATTGGACAGTGTTGTTTTTGACATTGGAAACTCATCGGCGGTCGAAAACACATTCCCCATGATCCCCATATACAATTTCTTCGGAATCTTGGTCGGGAATCAATGCAAATCCCATACCAATCACATCGGGTCACAAAATAGCTCGAAATCTGGGTTTGTATAGATAAATCCACTAGATAAATCACATTCTACATCTCACTCGAGATCTTCCACTGGTGCAAGTTCCACAGCTGGCCGTGCAGGCACTGCTATTTGAACATGTAGTCGCTTGGCTGAGGCCGATCTACGTGGTGCTACGTGGTGCCACGTGGCGCGGCACAGCTGCAGCCTGATGTAATTGCGGAAGCCCCACCCTCGGCGGCTGGTCCGGGGCGCCTGTGAGGAACTGGTGTCCCATTGGCTGCTGAAGCCGGGACTCTTCGGGCCGGATCGCAGCTCTGATCAAGACGTCAGCCTGCTGCAGCTCCCACCCCAAGTCCAAGTGTAACTGTAGGCCGAGCTTGTAGTATTGCACATTCTATCATCCATCCAGAATCCAATAGATAAATCCACTCAGCCTGTCGATGAAACGCAATGTCTTTTGTCAAATGAGCCATTCAAAAATACCCGATAACATTTCATGAAATACTAGTTGTTTTTTTTTCAAGTTTTCCCCGCTATGGGTTATCATAATCCCCACTATATTAGGTAGTATAAGTTTCATTTCATAATCAACCAGGGTCTCACCTCTCAGCTTCCATATCTTCCATGGTTTCAATTCCGAGGCACCGCTTCCCATCGACCTTTCTTCTGACATGCACTGATTGCTGCGTTGTAGGAGACCACATTTCCCCGGGAGCGGCTCCTGAGGTGTGTGGGGTACTGATCACATCTGGCATGGTTCCATGGTGCCAGGCGTCACATCTTCCAGAACATCCCGATTTTGTACCGTATTCCGATAGGATCCATGGTGCTGGTATATATGCTAACATGACTGGGGTATATTGATGGGATCCATGTTACCATCATATATATAGCAGCACCATGGATCCGTCATGGGTATTGGTTGACATAAGTCATGGATTTGTTGCATCCTAAAGTATGTTTTCCAGAAGACCTGCACTCAATTGGACATCACCCATGTTCAGAGGATCATCGTACCCTGCAATTGATTAGCAACCCAGTTGCATAAGCCCCATGAGATATCATCAATAGCTTGTCCCATCCAAAGAGGGTTTAAAACTTATACACAAATCCCTTCCCCCCTAATCTTAACAACCCCAACCCTGGCCAAAACCATGGTTTTTCCTAGGGTTTTACACCTAATTGGGACCATTTTTCATGGGTTTTTCTGATGGGGACCGGGCCGACCTCTGCAGCTGGGAGAGGATAAACATAGCCTCTTTCCAACCTGAGATGCATGGAATTTAATATCGTCTATCCCAAAACATTGCCCAAAACATATCTATCTATCTATCTATCTAATCTAATCTAATCTAATCTCATCTCATCTCATCTAATCTATCTATCTATCTATCTATAGAGACATTTATATGTTGGAATAGTTGGAATAGTGACCAATATACATGTTATAAACGTTTTTTTGTACATTTGCCAACATTTACCTCGAACATAGTCTAATAGATAAATTTATATGCCTGCACCATTGAGCAAAAAAAAACGAGAGTAACCACATGTCGATAAACTTATCTTGAATTTGTGAAGAATTATCTTGAATTACAGGAAAACATACCCTCATCGTGTTCACTAAAGAAGCATCATTTCACTTGATGCCGAACCCCCTGTAGAATAGGGAAATCCAAGGAAAAAAAAAATCAGGTGCCAGGCGTCGACTGACTGGATATAGCCCTTCCACAGGGAATTTTCCATCTTGACTGGCAAAGAAATATACAACTGGGGAGTTTCCACTGGCGGCTTAGATATGCTTAGATTTCTAGTATATTGTGGATTTAGGGTATCTGTAGGACTTTGATCTGCAATGTGATTCTTGAATACGTTTTATGCAATATTCTAGATATAGTGACATGCAAGTGCAATATGGGGTTTTCTTAAAATGCGGATGGCCAAAAACCATTGGTTTCAAGACTAAAATGGTCTAATTTTGGTTGATTTGGGGGTTACCACCCATTTAAAGAAACCTCTGCATGCAGAATGCTTTTCATGTTCATTAGTGGAACGAACATCGAACGAAGTGACTCTGAAAAAACTGGCAACCGACCAACGGGGCGGACCCCTGGAATTTGATGAACATCATTTGGTCGATTTTCCCGGCTTGGGAGGTAGGGCACACAACTTCAGACACACCCATGGACCCATATATATATATATGATATTGTTGGTTAAGTATCCATAAGTATCCCAGTACTTCTCCACATTGTATCTTCCATACACCCAGCTATAGATAATTGATCAATCGCAAAGGAACGGTTTCCCTTTTCACATGCACTGATGGCTGCGCTGTAGCTAATCACCTCAAAAACGTGGATAATGAATTCGGAAACGGTGAACTTTCAGAAAAGGTTGCCAAAAAATGTAACAATATATATATTATGCAATGCATCATAAACATGATACACTGTTGTTTTTTTCCCAAACCGCAACATGATGTTCTTCATTTCTGTCATTGTTGCTGGTTAAAGCAAGTATCTCCTAAGGTCTACCTGGTTGCATTGTTCCCCAGACTATTCAAAACCACTAACCGCAAGCCAGGGAAACTTTCATTCCCCCATTTCTAGCTAGCAGCAATCAACCCATGAAAAGCTACAACGCAAGGGCCCCAACACAGGTAAGTTAGTTTTCAACTGCAAGTATTGTTAAATTTGTGGCAACAAAAATGCAAAAAACAATCTATAGGTGAATGAGTGGAAATGAACCAGCATCCACACGTGGGGCCCCCACTTTGTACCCACTTCTCATTATTTTCCGTAGTGTTCTTGATTTGTTTACCGCAAGTTCCCCTTTAGCAGTCACAATACTCTTTACTGCGGTAATGGTTAATTTTCTTCCCATCATATCCCCATTACCATCTGGTTATTTAACATAGCCATGGAAAATCACCATGTTTAATAGGTAAACCATCTGTAAATGGGCCATTTTCCATGGCTATGTTAAATAACCAGAGGGTATATCCTCACTCATATCACATACTTGGAGATTTACAAGATTTACCTTCTGGTAAACGTGGCAATGGCATTGGGAAACTCATCATGATTTCCCCGTTCGAATGCCTATTTAAATGCCCATTGAATGTGGGTATTTTCCAGCTAGCCATGGCTTGATTGCTTTAGGGTACCCTCCCCAAATCATCCAGGGCATACCCTGCAAGGCGAGGCCCACCAGTCAAACAAATTGTCTATAAAGTGATTAGCTACTTCGTTACTTGGTGGCTCATCCCACGTAGTATGTAGGTTTTAACCCTGGTTAAATGGGCTAAGTAGGGTTAGTTCACTTAAAACTGGGGTTATAACCCACTTATTAACTGGGATGAACCTCCAAGTATATACCCCATTCATCAACACCCAGCAGTCAACGAAGGCAGTTCTGTGCGTCAACCTCTCGCGATTTCGTAAGGCCGGGGGCCTAATTTTGTGGATATCGCTAAAATCCCTCTATACATATATATCTATCACTATAGTTGGTATCATATATTATATATCACAGTTAAATATATAGTTGTCTGTATAACTATGTATAACTAATTAATGTATATATATAACTATAATATACTATAATATATCATATAACTATAGATAGTTGTCATCCACTTTTGAAACTGCCGCTGCGTCGCATCTAACTGCAGCGACTCTTCCCTTGAGACCTCGAACAGCCACCTCATGGCCGACCGCCATTGCCCCGCTTTCTCGAGGGCGCTCAGGGCGCCTAGGTGCGCTGTCCCATGCGCTGTTGGCAGTGATGAAGCAAAAAGAGAGCTATGTCGACGTCATTGGATGGGTTTCAGGGAACATATGGTAAAACCTATGGTAAAACCTTGTAAAGAGAGCTATCTCATGAAGCAAAAAGCATGTAAAGCCTGCCGGTTTTATCTACAGGATGTCATGCTTTCCTCAACGTTTAGGATTTTCCAATCCTTCATCGAAGTCTGGAAGAGTTGTGCCTCAAAACCTGGGATTCTCCTGGTTTTGTTTGCCTATGAAAAACATGGCGCCTATGAAAATGCTTCCCCCAGTAATGTTTGTTTTTTTCTGGGGAATGAACTCCATGAATGCTATTGTTATATCCTGCACCCAACAGCTTAACCGGTTGGGTCAACTTCGCTATCGCTTGGGGGCCTCACCTTGTATGAATTGGGAGCCAAGGCTCAACCGTTTGACATACCATTGACCCCAATCGCACGACATGTAGACAGCCAGTAATATGATAAACCTAACAAACAAAAACCTCCAATTTTGAACTCCTACAAATCATTTCTGGTTAATTTGATGATTGTATGTGATTGTGAGGGTGATCCACCTAGCAGTTTTTTCGTGTCCCAGTCTTGACATCTCAGCTACAAGGTGGTGCCCAATCCATAGCCAGGTTTGTTTATAAGCCAAGACTTGCACAACTTGAAAAACATCACCTTTTGTGACATTTCCCATAGACAATGCGATCGCCGAAAGATTGTTCTTGCCCCGCTCTTTGGTTTGCATTTTGTTGAGCCAGCTCTTGCATTCGACGTTGGACTATGTGGGAGTTATGGCGCAGCTCCTGTGTGTAGGTCTCTGCTTTGATGCTGCGCAAATTCTGTTGTAAAACCACGAGATTCTGGAGCATGACATGCTTCACAAGGACAGGTGCAACGTTGGTTGCATAGTCTTTAAGCCCGACTGAGCTGTGTGGATCATACGATCGATCCAAAACTGGAGCAAAGATGTGGAGTAGGCTGGCACACCGCCTTGTTTTGGCTGAGCCAAATAACAGGCCTGGTTGCCATCGGGCCATCTCCAGCAATGATATCCACCTGGTAAAAACCACGTATTCTCATGCCATGACTGCCAAGACTTCGCTGCAATCGGCGACCAAGTTTTTCCAATAGGATCTTGACCGATATGATAAATGCATACCCGACACATTTGAAGTCTTGATCTGGTGAGTTTCTCCTCTTCACCTGATGTCCTTTCCAAAGCTACACCACAAAATAGTCCAAATATTGCCCAAGATACAATAATGCTAAGTTCATATATTAATCATACGAGCATTAATAATCACCCCCGGGCCCCCGAATTCATCAACACCCACATTCCAAAAAATGTCTGGCAATACAACTTTGGGTTGGTCCCTCCCTATTAATAAACATGTGCGACCACCCTATTAAACAGCACCCTGCTTCGAAATCTGACTTTTTGGTAGTCAGGATATCTCACCCCATTGGGAGGTTGCTAGTGAAAAGAGAAATCTCGACCAATTGGCAGGCAGGTTGGCTGCAGTTTTTTTTGTATGACAAGCCCTAGTTTTTTGTTTGGGGCGGACTCTTACCTTCTAGGGGAGTTATCAATACGAACTTGGCATTAAGTATAGGATTTATGGATAGTTATGGTAGATATATGTAGATATATCCATAGATAGGGTTTTCTAAACAAACTTAAAACATTTGGGTGCACCACCTTGCAGGTTGAGGTCCAGGTTTCCGCCCAGGTGCTGTTGTAGGTAATGATGTTGCCTGCAGTGCTGCGCACTGGGGTCACTCGAGTTGAAGGACGAGTTGGAGATTGGGAGGAACAGATACCATCCGGTAATGACTCACACTTTGCTATTGAAACTTGCCATAGAAATAGTTGATTTATGTTGATTTACCCATTAATAATGGTGATTTTCTATAGCTACGTTAGTTTACCAGGCCGAGTACTTCGTTTTTTGTCACCAGAGATAGCATTGGAGTCGTCGTCGTGATGCACGATCGGATCTCAGTTGACAGCCGCTTCTTTGGGGGTGGCCAAAACAAAAAGGCCCCCAGGAGCCCAGGAGAACGGTCCAAGATAATACCCAGGAGGTGATGAAAAACCCAGGAACTTGGGATGAACTGGGACTGCCATAGCTTCTACGATGCTTACTTCGTATTAGGGGGTGCAGTTTCGCTTCACATCCCAACCGCCGCTGGCCTTGAATTCCATCGTGCTGCATCTCGGACAGCAGTGCCAGCGCATGCTGCCACTGCCCACTGTTGCCGCAAGCACTGACCACCGCACCCCTTGGCACTTTGAATGAGTTGGACTTGGGCCTCCATCATTTTGTACATCTTTATCCCATCAGAACTGACTGAATTGATGATCTCCTGTGTAAGGCGGTGCCCCCTAGTCAGTTTTAAGTTGGTGTATTGAAGCGTTGCTGAAGGATCGAATGCATGGTAGACATATCCGTAGTTATATTATGAAAACTATATATATATATACATACATATCAACTAACAAAACTGGAGGGGCATCACCTTGTAGTGAGGTGTGGATGGAGACTGCAGAACTTCCATCTATGTATTCATTGTTTTCCGCTGGGTCAATTTGGCTTTGATACACTGAAGAGAGATTGGCCTAAAAGGATCCAAAATGAAGGCCTCTCACCTACCTATTCACTCATATTACCTGCATGACATGAACATCGGATCGGTGTCAAAATTGTCCTGTGACGGACTCATCACATGCGGTGGTGCTCCTAGTTATAAGTTGGTTTATAAATTCATAATCTTATAGAATGGTATAGATATATCATGATATACCTTCACCATAAAAATTCATAAATCCAAATCTGGTAATTTAACATAACTATGGAAATTCACCATAGAAATAGTCAACTTCCCATGAAAAAACTAGGTGATGTTCCATAGTTATGTAAACGTTTACCAGATGGTACAGCAAATAAAACCTTAAACCAACTCAATGATATACTGATGAAACAAGGTGTCAACAACATCTTACGTTTACTCATGAAACAAGCTGGGCGCGAACTGGATCACCACCTTTCACGTCCGGCAAGTGGCAACAAGATCACATCCAGCTCGCCCCGAACCTCGCAGATCCCCGAAGTCAGGATGGGTTGTAAAGGCTATACCAATATATTTTGAATGGTAGTTTATTAATAGTATTAATATACCTGGTATACTATTTTATATACTGGTTATAACAGCTATATATATATATGTATTATATATATACATATATACTATTAACCAATATCCCAGTGACTATTGATATCTGGTTGGTGGTTGGTATACCTACCCCTCTGAAAAATGATGGACTGAAAGTCAGTTGGGATGATGATTCCCATATATTATGAGAAAATAAAAACAAGTTCCAACCCACCAACCAGAATATATGTTGCATGTTAATTGGAAGGTTCATAATTACATTATACTACCATAAAACAAAACATTGAATGGTCTAATATAGTGTCATAGGCGTTGTTATTCATATGGCACCTACCAAGGTGGTGCTTCATCCAACAAAAACGATTCGAATCTCCCATACACCCTACTTAGCTGACGATTCGAATCCAACTTGGCAAATTAAATCCATCCAAATGCCATGAATAATCCCATTAAACCCCCTTAAATCATTACATGTTTTGCTGGTAAAATGCGAAACAGTAGCTATATAAAAGTAGCTCTATGGAGGTGTCCAATCCATGGGGGTACCCCCGAAATCATCCATTTTTGATTGGGTTTTTCCATGAAATAAACCATCCAGCGAGCTTGGCTATTGGGGTACCCTCTGGTGAACTAACATAGCAATGGAAAATCACCATGCTATTAATGGGAAAATCCACTATTTCTATAGCCATTTTCCATTGCTATGTTAGTTCACCAGAGGGTATCCCCATGACTTAAGAAACCCCCTTGTTTTATCACAGGGAACCACCATGAAAATCCATCCCCCCCGTGGCTCCACCGCTCCACAGTGCCTCCTTTAGGTCTTCCAAGAGTTGCATGGCTTGAAGCCATTGGCTGCCTGGAACTTGATGGAACTCATCATTTTTCACTTCAGGGAGTCGTTAAATTTGATACATGGCTATATGGCTACATAAAAACCTGCATGTATATAGATCATGCCCAATCTTAGATACGCAAAATATGAGATTCTTAGCTGGTGAACATAGATAGAGATGTAGCTGGAATTCTGAATGTGCATACATGCTGATATATATATATATATATACACATATGTGTGTATATATATGATATATGTATGATTATATGTATGATTATATATGTAACCATATGTACACACTACAGAAGATATCTGCAGTTCAGCAGCAATACCGCATACCTGTCAACATGGTTTCCAGGTGACACCAAATGTGCGGTGACGTGACCGCAAAATTTTCTCAAAGACCTGTCAACAGCGACACTTTAAAGATACCATTGATCAATGGGAGATCTCCAAAATCCGATTTATTGGAGCTACGTTAGTACTAGTACCATATGTTTGGCCATATGAATTCTGGGGATATTTCCTGAAACCAAGGCCTAAAAAATAGGCCAAACTTTTATGGAATCAGTACCTCCGATGGCCATTGATTGATGGTTTACTCAGTTTACTCGAGCCCCGAAGAAGTTTTTTCAGAATCCACCCTGGGAGAGTTCATTCCATCCATTTTGATGTTGGAGAAATGTTGCTTAGTCGTTTCATGTTCAACCCATCCCAAAAAATCTGACTATGATTCGTAATTAATTATGTAATATTATATATGTATGTATTAATATGTAATTATGTATATATATACACATACAGACATACCCATCATTGTGATTCATTGTGTATTTATCTAATATGTATATATATATATATTACATATGCGTCAACTGTGATGTGATCATCAGCCGATGTATGATGGTAGATACAAAACCCCACATGCACCATCGAACTGTTGCGCATGTGTGCTTCCCAGCAACTAGATAGTGGTTCGGTGATCGTACTGGACATACCATTGGAAAAAAGTACAGCAACCAATCACAATTAATTACAGTATTACTTGTGTTTGTGCCCAAAAAAACAGATATGTCAACCGTTGATGTCCCCTACTTGTACTATACATGCGAAATTACAATGTATATAAGTATACACATTGAAACCATCTTTGGGAACGTTGATATTTCTGAATTTCCGGACATACTTGTGTGCGATAAGCACACCATAGAAAAAAACACAACAAAACACGCAGATGTCCAATCTCAGAATTTGTTGCCCACATTGGGTTCATCTTACTGTATTGTTTGTTCTTCCCTAAAAAAATGCGGACATTCCCCTACGAGTCACTGCTGACTCATGATCATTAATTTACCCCAATGATTTTGTTTTATAAACTCACACGAACTAGCACCAACTCATGCCAACTCATATGAATTCGTATATGAAGTCTCCATGACTTTGAGTTGGGTATTTTTTGTTCATGACAAGTCGTCGCGTGAATCGGTGTTCATCACAGGTCATCTGGGGATCAGTCAAAACCTATTATGTATTACCATTTATTACCATAATTATTGATGGTAACTATTGAACATGGCAATTTTTAATGGGTAAATCAACTATTTCTATGGCCATGTTCAATATCTATGTTAAATTACCACAATTATTACCATAATTGGGGTAATTGAAAAAAAAAACGGCCATAAACATCCATTAGAAGCAGGTCATCTGTCTATTTTGAGGTACCGTTTGGGTCCCAAACGGTCACAGGTCATCTGTCGATGCTTTTGTTTTTTGCGGCGTGCCTTTCTCACAGGCGCTGATGGCGGCACTGAAGACAATGACCTGATGGGACGAAACATGGAGTGTCATCTCAACGGAGAAAATGGGAAAATCATCATTATTAATGATGGCTAATATACTGTTAATGGTTAATATTAATGGTTATTATATGGTTAATGATGGTTAATAACTATATAACTGGTTGGTGGTTTTTCGCCTACCCCTCTGAAAAATGATGGAGTGAAAGTCAGTTGGAATGATGACATTCCCAATATATGGAAAGTCATAAAAGCCATGTTCCAAAGCACCAACCAGAAAATGTTCCAAATCACCAAGCAGATAATCAGATAGTGGTTTTCTACATCCACAAATATAACTATGGAGGATTTTTTGGGGATGGGAATGATGTGATTTTTCGTTACAGACATCGTCCAAAAAATAAGGATTGAAAAGTCCCACAGTTGGGGAGTGTTTTTTCTTTACATAAGGTCACTATCTTCAACTTTGGGATAATAATTGAAACCTTTAGTGGGTTGATGTATAAGAATGTATTGGACAAAGTAGACAGGTACGAAAGTTGGTACGAATGCGAAGTTCAATCAACGTAGTCATGATACAGCTATTGAATGACCTGGTGAAGGGAGTCAAAGGTCAACATGAGTGCCTTTCGCTCGACCAAAACTTCCTGGTGGCTGTGTTACCGTTCCTCTGGTGGAGTTATAATTACTGTGTGGGAAAATTTGTTGGACATCAAGTAAGAAAACACTCCCGAAATCAAAATTGCTTCCATAGCAAAAAAAAGTATACCCTCCAGTAAATTAACATAGACCCTGCCAGATAGGGGTTGGAAGACTAGTTTCCACTATAAATTGGTCATTTTCAGGGTCTATGTTAATTTACCAGAGGGTAACTTATTCAAGACTGATGCATGGCTGCTGCGATGGAGCTGGTGATATTTGTTGCTTCATGGTGCGTCCATCCACTCATTGGTCCGCGAAAAATGCATGGTGAGGCCTCTCATCTGCCACTGATGCGGTTTTTTCCAATACCTGGCCTGGTAAACTAACAGTTTGCTATGGAAAATCACTATTTTTTTATGGGAAAATCCACTATTTCTATGGCCATTTTCAATTGCTATGTTAGTTTACCAGAGGGTATCTGCCAATGCTGATCTCACTGAATCCTCCATGTGTGTTTCATCTGGGCATGCGGCACTTTGCTTTCTCTGCGGTGAAGCGGAGGGGTTTCACAGATCACCAAGTGCCGGCCTACACTACCATCTGGTTATGACTAACAGACTAACACTTCGCCATGGAAGCCATGGCAGAAATAGATGGTTTACCTATTAAAAATGGTGGATATTTCCCATTAAAAATGGGTGGATCTTTCCATGGCAAACTGGCAATGTCATAACCAGATGGTAATTGATGATCCCCAAAGTCCAAAATCGCCAAAAAAATCCCAGGAAAAACTCCTGTCAAACTTTGCTGCGTGCAAACTTTGTTACCATTCCATTCTTGTTGGGAACCAGAATCATGGCAATTGTAGAGTATGTAGTGTTGGAAAAAATATATAACAGTTGTACATACAGTATGTGTGTATATATATATACATTCAGTATTTATGTGTTTACTCATTTGAAATAGTTGGAATATATACTCTGCAATTGTGCGTTTGCAGTGGCTATGTAGTATCAAATTATATCAACACTTCTTTGCTTGGTAAACTCCCCATTTCACAGTCTAATCTTAGATACCTTATATTTGTCTAGTTCCTTTAATGTAATAGTATAATATGCACATAATTGTATATAGTTGATTACGCATATCTCCATCAAAATGACAACATATTAAGTTCTACAAAGTTGTACCGATCAGCCAGATTCTACAGTTGATATCCCGGTTGTATGGATGATTTATTTGTTAAGTCTCCATAACGATGTTGTTTAATATCCCTGTTATATCCCAAACTTGTGAAACCCCCAAGGCTTCCCCTTAAATTTGCAAGGTTCGCCAGTCACGTCGCTTTCCCTAAATATAATTACCCTCTGGTAAACTAACATAGTTATGGAAAATGACCATGCTATTAATGGGAAAACTCACTATTTCTATGGCCATTTTCAACAGCAAACTGTTAAATTACCAGAGGGTAATATCCGTGATCCATTGGATAAATCTAATCTCTCCATTGTACACTGTCTCCATCCAAGGTTTTACCAAAATATGTGTCCATGCCAGAAGAACATCCAAGTGGCGTTCCCAGCAACCAAACCATCCTTCATCTCTGAAAGCAGTTGTAGTGCCAGGGGCCACTGCTGACCCTGGCAGTGGACAAACACGGAATGGGAAGGTCCCACGAGATTTTGGACTTCACCCCCGTATATAATCCCTTACATCCATTGCTCATCATCATTTCCCCATGGTTTAACAGCAAGTTTGATGGGTTTACAATCTGGTTGGTGGTTTTAACATGTTCTAACCATGTTGAAAAATATGAAAGTCAATGGGGAGAGTTATCCCATGTATTATGGAAAACAAAAATCCAAACCACCAAGCAGCAATGGTGTGAATCGAATCAGAGCCCCATATCCCATGGTTAAAAAAACCTCATTTTTCCCATATGGCTATGGATCAATACCTATTAATACCATTTTTAGGGGGATGAACATCCATAAATCCCAGCTATTTTGATGTGAACTACAGGGGTACTATTGGTTTTGACACACTGCCATATTGTCACAGCCATTTTTAGAGAAACGGTAACCTTCGGCCTCGCCTTCTCGGCAGCTGACAGGGCTGCACCAAAGCTGATCACCGTGGCTTCCAGCTGCAAGTCCTCGCAGGTGCATGAAAAACAAACCTTGGGGGACCCGGCCTGGAAAACATACAAAAAACATCAAAAAACTATGGACAATCACCCTTTTCTAATGGGTAAATCAGGTAAATCAACTATTTCTATGGTTTATAACTAAGTTTATAACTAAGTTGGTGCAAATAACTCCCATTAAACCTATGGTTTATCGCAGATATAACGAACTAGTATTCATGGGGTGAATCTAAACCAACAAACATCACTGGGGGGCACCATCCTGTATGGACAATCACCCTTTTTTAATTGGTAAATCAACTATTTCTATGGCCATTTTCAATAGCTATGTAAACGTTTACCAGAGGGTACTTAAATTTCATTCGTGGTACTTAGCATATTGAAGGGCTATGTACGGTGATATATCATGATATATCCCCTTATGGCTTTAAATGACACAGATGGATACAGTATCTCTAGGCATGGAGGCAGCTCGTTCTTGTGTCATGAATGGGAGGCCCATGTTTGTTTTTTCCACAGCTACTGCACGAGGCACATGAACACATGGATGACATCTCTGATATGCGATGATTTATCCTTTCGACATTTTGACCAGGCTCGGCTGAATCTTCCCGGAGAATCTACAGGAAACTGAGGAAACGATCGCTTTTTAAACCCAAATATAGCATAGGCATAGTGTCAAGGCTGTGCTATCCTGGTTTAAGGCAAACAAAAACTACCCCAGAAACCTTGGATTTTACCCCCAAGTATAATATAGGCTTAAAGGTTTCCTGTTAGAAGAAAACCTTCATGCCAACTCTGGGAAATGATATTGTACTCAACACTTGTTGTGGGATAAAGAATTCAAACAAAAAAAAAAAAAAGATCTCGGATTCTCGGATATCCAAAAGCTAACTTGCTATCCATCTTCAATAGTATCAATAGATATCAATAGTTCGGAAACCCCAAATGCTAGGATTGGTACGAATTGCGTTTTTGTTCCATTTGTTCCAGGACAGAAGATATCAGGGACCTCTTGAGGACTTGTCCACCACGTTGTGCACGCTGGACCATGGCCCCGCCATGCCCCGCCACCCTCACCCTCAACCTGCATCTGTTGAAGTAATGTCAAGCTCCTAGAAGCCGCAAAGGCAGAACTTGATTCGTTGGGGGCCGCCGGCCCCATCTTTTTCTGGTGAATTGTAGAACTATGAACAGAGATTGGGATGGAAACCACTTGAGAACGCTGGGTTCCATCAAAAGATGAATAAAAAACAAAGATAACTATGTCTCTTTCCCATGCCCAAACGCTTCAAATACATCCCTATGGGGTCATTGCCCTGAAATACCATGGATACCACATATAAGAATATATATATATATAGTATATATAACATTATATTATATAACTATATAGACTTCATGGTAATTCTATAATTGTATAGACTTGGTAGTAATTCTATTAGTCTATAACTATATAGATATGGTAATTATAACATGTTATAACTTCATGATTAAATTTGTGTTGCATCCCGAGGTACAGACTTCAATCATTACTATCTTCCACTAGAACTGCTGGCTGGTTGGCAAGGATTGCCACAGTGGATTTTGATCCTTAAAATTCATGAAACAATTTCCAAAACCACCAAGGTTACATTTTTCCCTGGTATCATTAACATGTTGGTTACAATATGTTATAATCAGTAATCATAGGCCTCTAGAACCACTGGTGAGCGGTTTAAACCCGAAAAAAAAAATGTATAATTCCTTGGGATAACATGTAAAGTGCTGCAGCCACTACCCAAAATCCTAGGCCTTTTGTCATCATCGATGACGCGCACCTTTGCCATTCGGAGACTTTGCCACAGGCACTCGAAGCCGTGTTGAACGTCACCACATCTGGCAACAACTGCGCCTGGGAATCGCGATGGAGCTTGGAACCGAAATGTCACGTCGACGACTGGGCACTCGGGCACGACATCAACAAGCACTGGTTGGTGGTGCAATAACCATCTTGAAAAATGATGGAGTTCGTCAGTTGGGAGCATTATTCCCAAATATATGGAAACATAGTCCAAATGTTCCAAACCACCAACCAGCATCAAAATGGTTCAGCATCCGAAGATGATTTTACATGATTTCTACTGGCCAGTGCACGTTGGTTCCACTGTGATAATGCAACTCTTGTTATTCACGCGCCAGTTTTGAACTTACCCAAGAAGAATCACAAAATCATTAGAAGTTTCATGAACCACTTCTCTATATATCAGGTACCACCAACCAATAGGTCGCTACTTGGTGGCTCATCCCACTTAGTAAGTGGGTTATAACCCCAGTTATAAGTGGATTAACCCTACTTATCCCATTTATAACTGGGGTTATAACCCACTTACGATTCGTGGGATGAGCCATCAAGTACTGGATCTTTTTATTCAAACCACTGGCTCTTGATTTTTTGCAAACCATCCAACAAGTGGTGGACAGCCATCTCCAGGCACTTGAGGCAAGCCGGACAGGAGCTGCAAAGCCCTTTGCCATTCTTCACCTGCGAAGTGAAGAGCGATGTATGGCGATGTCAATGTTTTTAGCTGGGGCAGCTTCCTATGGATTTATGGCTTTTCTATGGCTTTTTGATGGCTTTTCTATGTTTTTTTTAAATGTGATCCGTAAATGATCATGGGCGGAAACACTATGATCAATGATAAGGAGTGATTTTCTTTCAAGATCTTCGGACATCAAGTTGAGGTCATCGTAGTTATGTCCGAGTTATGTCCGGAAGGAAAAATGAACATGGCTGGTTGGTGGTTTCAACCCACCCCTCTGAAAAATAATGGAGTTCGTCAGTTGGGGTTACAGTACTATTCCCAACTGAATGGAAAAATAAAAGCCATGTTCCAAACCACCAACCAGATCTACAAATATTCGTGTTTTGACTAGATTGGTTGAAGGGAAAATCTACAGCAAACCATTATTTTTACTCCAAATAGAACATGGGAATACAAAGTCAACCATTTCTACAGAATCTTTACGTGCTTCAGTGGGGGTCTTTGAGCAATGTTTGCTGGTGATTCATTCTCAGGCCGAGTAGAAGCCACCTGTCATGTGTGCTGTCAACACCGAACATGTTCTGGATGAACATCTTAGCTTAATTGGCAGTTTTGATGTAATCCCTTCACCCTAAGACATATACTAATTACACTAAATACCCAACTAGAAACCGTGGTGATTGGATCAATCGCAAGCACTGACATCTTGACATCTTCCCGGCCGCTCCCGGAGAAAAATGGTGCGATCAAAAGACACGGTCAATGGGATGGAACATCAGAGAAAATCCACACAAAGTGGTGCCCCAGTTCGGAATCGCTAAGTTGGTGCAAGTAACTCCAATAACTTTGGTTTATGGTAGATATAGCTATACTTAATGGTGGTTAGTTATAAACTAAATTATAACTGGGGGGGCACCACGTTGCAGGAAAGCATGGTTCCTTAAAAGTTCCCATCAAAATGCTGGTGTTCAACTGGAATTGTTCCCTTCAACTAAAAAAACTGGGGACCTGGTGAGATTTGTCACAAAAAATGGTGGGTTTCACAAGGTGAGGCATTAAAGATACCAAACTGTTGGATGATTGATGTTCACCTGCCCTTTCACAAGAAACATGAGGATATTGATATCTGGTTGGTGGTTGAGCCTACCCCTCTGAAAAATGATGGACTTCGTCAGTTGGGATGAAGACATTCCCAACTGAATGGGAAAGTCATAAAATTCATGTTCCAAACCACCAACCAGATATTGTTAACTAATAAACAATGATTGGTTGACGGTTTTTCCTGACTGATTCTGTGGGTGAAAACCCAACCTGATTTTTCACTCAGGATTTCATGGGAATATGGGATGGAGCCCAGGGCTATAGCGGCTATACCCTCCTGTAATCAAACCTGGCAATGGAAATCTGCCGATTTCAAGATGATGTTCCCATTAAGAGCTCCATTTGTCGGGTTCCATTGCTACGTGGCTGACTACCAAAGGGTACAATGTGGGCCCCCAAACGTTATAAATTGGTTTATAAACCCCATTAACTATACGTAGTTATAAGTATCATAAACAATAGATATTGGAGTTATAAACCAACTTAGCTATCGAACGCGGGCCCCACATTGTAATCTTCATATGACTTTCATGGCTCCAAACACTGCTATCGCGGACCTTTGTTGCAAGCGCTAATGGCTGCATTGTAAGCGTTGATGTCCTGGATGTCTTGCTGTAGCCTGTGCCAGGAAGAAACGTCTTGGGGCCACCCTGAGAGACGCCCATGCAATCGTTCAGAAAAACAAATAAAAAGGCTATTGATTCTGGTCAGGTGGGAAATGCTTTGGATATCCAAATCCATTGCAACATTGCATGTTTTTGTATCCGTCGACTTTATCATGTCGCTTTTGGAACATTTTAAGGACATAGCTTAAGACCGGCAATGTACAGAATCTCACGGCAAAAACATCTGGGAACAATCGGGTAATCCCGTAACAGTAACATGGACATGGTTACGTTTGTTATTGATATCTGGTTGGTGGTTGAGCCTACTCCTCTGAAAAATATGAGTTCGTCAGTTGGGATGATGACATTCCCAATATATGGAAAGTCATAAAAATCATGTTCCAAAAACCACCAACCAGTTATGTTTGGGATGATTACCCGGTGCTGTTGTTGGGAGGTTGCTTCAATTTACCCAGAACATTGACTGACCATCTATGTTTCCATCATCTTTTTCATATGTCCTTCTTAAATCCTCAATAATCCCTTTAAATACAACATTGCTGGATAAATGCCTACCAGATACCCATCAACCCCTATATAATATAGATGATGTTCTTTTCCGAAATCCACATTAAATTACAGGGTAAATCTCTTTACTTTCAATATCCCAAATATATTACCCTCTGGTAATTCAACATTGCTAATGTTGGATGGACAATAGTAAAGCGCGTGCAATCGCTACAAATAATTTTCAGAATCTGATTTTTCAGCCCCTATTGATTTTAAATTAGGCCTTATTGATTTTAAATTACAAACATCAACCTTGGTCCAGAGCATCTGCAATAAATGTGGTTCATTCGCAATAGCTACAAATAATTTTCAGAAAATTCCCAAATTATCAGACTTTACAATACTAAATTGTAAAGGAGCTAATTGAGATTTAGTATGGATGCAGGAAAAAAATCAGAACCAGTTACAGTTCAGCTGTATTTTTTCCCTTCTTCCTTAGTGTTTTTAATTGTGGTTGAATGGTTTTAAATTGTGATTGCATGCTTTTCAAAAGCAAAAAAACAAAGCAAACCTTTACCAAATCAAAAACTTTACCTGGTTCAAAAATGCTGTTTTCTTTATTATATAAAATCCTTTTAAAAAATTGCAAAAAACAGGTCCACAAAGGGTACCCCCTTGCAGGTCCTTGCATTTGCAATTAAAAACTGGAATTAGCACTTGCAATAAGAAACAACCTTCCTGGCTCTAGCAGCCATGTTTTTCCCTTCTTCCTTAGTGTTTTTAATTGTGGTTGAATGGTTTTAAATTGTGATTGCATGCTTTTCAAAAGCAAAAAACAAAGCAATCCCTTACCAAATCAAAAACTTTACCTTGTTCAAAAAAACTGTTTTCTTTATTAAAATCCTTTTAAAAAATTGCCAAAAACAGGTCCACAAAGGGTACCCCCTTGCAGGTCCTTGCATTTGCAATTAAAAACTAGAATTAGCACTTACAATAAGAAACAACCTTCCTGGCTCTAGCAGGCATGTTTTTCCCTTCTTCCTTAGTGTTTTTAATTGTGGTTGAATGGTTTTAAATTGTGATTGCATGCTTTTCAAAAGCAAAAAAACAAAGCAAACCTTTACCAAATCAAAAACTTTACCTTGTTCAAAAAAGTTGTTTTCTTTATTAAAATCCTTTTAAAAAAATGCCAAAAACAGGTCCACAAAGGGTACCCCCTTGCAGGTCCTTGCATTTGCAATTAAAAACTGGAATTAGCACTTGCAATAAGAAACAACCTTCCTGGCTCTAGCAGGCATTTTTTCCCTTCTTCCTATCAGAATCCAATGAAGATCCCATCAGAGCCCATCAGAAAAGAGAGGATTTGTCAAAACCTTACAGAAGTATTGAACATGGCCCATAGACATAGTGGATTTACCCATGAATAACATGGTGATTTTCCATATACCAGAGGGTAAACCTCCATTTTCCTATGGTTATACCACTATTTCATCCCCGTTTTTTGTCAACGTTTACCAGGCCAGTTCCGGGCCAACGTCCCAAATCCTCAAGTCCTCACGACCTGGCCTTGGATGCTCCATGAATTTCTGCTTGGTGGTTGGTATACCAACCATATATAATAATGGTTAATGGTTAATAATGGTTAATAATGGCTGGTATAACAATATATTAACCATATATATATACCCCTCTGAAAAATGATGGACTTCGTCAGTTGATATATAATAATGGTCAATAATGGTTAATATATGGTTATTATATGGTTAATGATGGCTAATAATAATTTGGTTTGGTGGTTTCAACCCACCCCTCTGAAACAATATGAAAGTCAGTTGGGATGATGACATTCCCAACTGAATGGAAAAATAATCCATTCATGTTCCAAACCACCAACCAGATTTTAATAGAACCAATATCTAGCCTCTTCAAATCACCCAGTTCATGGAAAATCTAGCAGCACCATGCTTCGCATATGCGTGTGGCCTCGAATGCCGGAACTCCTCAAGAACAGCTAGGGCTAAAGGCCATGCATAGCCTCGGTGATCGTCCCAATCGACAGAGTGATGACGTTGGTTCACTTCTAGATGGGATAACCATGGAAAAGCCCATGGCGGGGGACTTACTAGGGTTGCTGGTTGGTGGTTTCTAGAAGTTGGGATGATGACATTCATTGACATTCCCAATATACGGGAAAAAATGTTCCAAACCACCAACGAAATTGTTATAAGCAGTTGCTAAATGGAACGATCCTCACCCCGGTTGTTCCAATGATATGGTGTTGGTACAGCCGAACGAACTGCCGCAGTTGCGTCCCTAAACCCACTTTCCACGAAAGACCGTCCAATGCGTCATAGTGACAGTGATCCAATAGTGCAAAAGGTCCCTCACCAAAAGGTAGAAATTGAACCCCCCAAGTCCACGTGGTAGATGAATCTCAGCCATTGTTGGAGATAACTCATGTTTATGATTTTCTTTACACCCGAATCTTGCGGAAGCTGTATGGCACACTTGCCGACATCTACCACCCAAAAACCCACGATTTTCCGCCCAAAGGTTGTGAAGTCGTGAATTGAGGGTTGGCAAATGGGATGTACAATGTACATACTGCCAATGGAATTGAGAGATGATCAAAGCTACCCTCTGGCAAACCAACATAAATATGGAACATCACCATTTTCAATGGGTAAATCAACTATAAATTGCCATTTTCCATTGCTATGTAAACGTTTGCCAGAGGGTACTGTATGTCCCAGTTTTTGTGGTCCCAAAAGAGATAGACGTTCGCCGCGAAAACCCAGGACGTTACTTGGTGGCTCACTTCCCACGAATCGTACAATGGGCGGGCTAAGTAGGGGCGTTTTGTTCACTTATAACTGGTGTGAACTAACCCACTAAGATCTAAATGGGATGAACCACTAAGTACAAATGATATATCTTCTATAGTTATTTAACATAGCCATGGAAGCCATGGCCCATAGAAATAGATGGTTTACCGAACTTAAAAATGGTGGATATTTCCATGGCAAACTTAACCAGATGATATATTTATTTACAACAATTTCTAGGTGTCCAACTCTGTCCAACTTTTGAACCGGGTTTGCAGGGATGATCCAGATACGATACTTATGTGATGTTAGATGGGCCATGGGAAAGAAAAACGCGAGTCCTGGTTCTTCAGTGGCTAACCCACGATCTCCCAAGTACAATCCATTCTGGTTGGTGGTTTTTCGCCACCCCTCTGAAAAATATTAGTCATTTGGGATGATTACTCCCAAAATATGGACAAATAAAAATAATGTTCCAAAAACCACCAATCAGTATTTATATACTCAAGCTAGTTAACTAAGTTCATGGCCCATCTAAGTACACAAAGCTGTCAAGATCTTTCCAATATTTTCCAAGCAACAGGAACTGATTGCGATGACATAGGTGACCAAAGTCAGCTGCAGGTCGTACTTCCTTTGCTGCACAAGCTTTGATTCATCCAAGGGCATGCTCGATACCTATCTCGCCAATCATCAATAAATTCAAAACGACCCAACTAATGCCATTCACATGCTGCTATTATATAATCACATTGTTGAAAAAACAAATGCATCTTTGAATCTTGACTATCATTTGGTGGGGAAACTCAATTTGTATAGCTTAAATTTGCTCCCCATTTGTTGTTGCGAATACGGAGACCATTGCTCAGCTCACCACGCCTAAGCACAGAGCCAAGTGTCGGGGCCTCATACCTGCAGCACAAATTAATGGATGATGTGAGGACGGAAGATCTCGGGTGGTTTCCACTCCGAACGCTTCAAGGAGTATACAGAGTATACAGTATACAGTACTGTGCTAATTGACCAATAATACAATGGTCAATATACATCAATACAGTATAGTAATATACAGTGCTGGTCAATGGTATGAGTATATAGTATACAGTATGACTCAATCGTAAACCTTCCCATTGACCAACCATTTGCTGTAGAGTGGTCATTATACATCATCCCACCAAGGGGTATACCCGATAATAAACCTGTATTGGGGCCTTATTGGGATGATTTATTCACATTGAATTCATTGTCAATCTTAGATACCTTGCAAAAAATTGAATTCTTTGCTGGTTAGTAGATATTCCCATTGATACCAAAAGACTAAAGGATTAAAGTATCCATGCAAGATTGACCTAGAATTTACCATATTAGTAAGCATATGTGTGTTTCAATAGAATGCCACCATCCTGTTGGGTTTCGAACAATTTCGAACATCTCACATCTGGATCCGAATGAGTGAAACTCCGAAAAGATATAAACAGATGCTGTGCCAAACCAATGGGAACTATAAGTATACATGTTTCCATCCTGTTTTGGAAAGATCTCCGATGGCTGAAAAATACGTTGTGCGCACCCGGGAGTCCCGGGAGTTTTTTTTTATGGAGCCACTGGACCACCAATCACCCCATCACCTCCATGGTCAAGTGGCAAGAGATGCAGTACACTTTGCCACTGCCTTGCTTTGCTGTAGCTTTGCATCGCCTAAAAATTCGGCTCAGATTTGTTGGTCATCATGATCCCCAAAGCGAAATCCAAAAAGACACCATCTTGACCACAAAGGATTGCCAGATTGGACAAATCTAATACCCATGGATTCGCATTTTGTACAAACCAACGTCTAACGGAGTTGTCCGCAGAATTCTCAAAGCCTCCGTTGACTTTGTCGGAGGCTAGGCTAGTAGAAAGGACTTTGACAGGAGAAACAGTCTCAGATGTGTCTCCGAAAAATTCTTTGCATTTCCTGGTAGTTATCCACGAAGTTTGTTCATGGGTGATGGTTTTTAATCAGTCATTGAAATCTCTCAGAGTGGTGACGGCAGCCCAGTTCTACCCACCAACCAGCCTGCCATTGCTTCAAACCCCAAGTTACACATCCAACTGTACAAAGTGATGCCCCCAGATAGCTACGTTAGCTTATTATATAAGTGTTAACTAGGGTTTATGGAATATAGAACATTATAGAACTACAGTCAATGGGGTCTATAAACCAGCTTATAAGTAGGGGGTTCCACCTTGTAGATATATCATGATATATCTTGGATTATCTTGGTATATCCAACCCCAGTCAACATAGCCATAAATCAACATCACCTATCATTTGGGTCCCTTTCCTGCAACTTTATGGAAACCACAGATCTTAGCACATCCGGTAGGAATCCATCCACTTTGATAGCCCACTTTTCGCCATCTTTGTGGCTGATCTGGGGTACCCTATAGCACCCCCTGATAGAAAGGTAGATCACTACTATTTTGGTCGGCATCTGGACCCATACCATCTGCTTATTTAACATAGCCATGGAAGCCATGGCCCATAGAAATAGATGGTTTACCTACTAAACATGGTGATTTTCCATGGCTCTGTAAAATAACCAGATGGTAAGCAGAAAAACCACATGAAACCACGCAGCTTCACCCAGTCACCCCATTCCACGCCACTATGTCATCAACTCCCAGTATCGACATGCGGCGCAAATTTTGCACGCAGGGCAGCTGGGCGGAGTCACTATACTTGGAGCTGCAGTTACAGTAGGCTTCGTTGGTACAGGGGCTATCAAGCTATATATACATAGATAAATATATCCCAACCATACATGTAAGTGGGCTTAGAATATGTTAAAATTATATGGTTGACACCACTAATGACCCGAACTGCACCCTCAAGTAGTTGACGGAAACTATTTCAGGTGGTTTCAGTCTATCCCCTGCAAAAAATGAATGTACTAGAATTGGCGGACAGCAAAGTATATAGAATATTATAGAATCATTTTGAATCAGATACCATTTTGGAAAATTCAAAATCAACAATATTCAATTCTTAATGATGATCTTTTGAAATGTACAACTGTACATGTTCTATCTATTCGAAAATGACCCAACCAAATGTATCAATTACATCCAACCAACTTCTGCATTGACTGATCCGAATGACTCCGCACACGCGCAGCGCTCACCGAGCTTGCTGAGCCATTCCCACCATGTCATTTCACCCATGAAATCCCGTGTGTTGACCACAAAAAAACGCTGGGATTGCATGCTCATTCCCTCGATGTTTTGTGCAAATATTGGAGGTATTAGAGGTTTTGAATATATTAGAATATATTAAATATATGGGATTTTGTGCAAATATTGTATTAGAATACTGGTTGGTGGTATACCTACCCCTCTGAAAAATATGAAAGTCAGTTGGGATGATGAAATTCCCAATATATAATAATATATATGGAAAAATAAAAAATGGTCCAAACCACCAACCAGAACATATTAGGGCGAGGTTTTGAACCATACCCAGTTTTGATCTCCACCAAAATTTGATGGTCAATCACTATTAATCATCATTTTCCCCACTAGAATTTGCCACACATCACCATTGCTGGGTGGCCCCAAAATCGAGGGCCGCCTTTGTTGCGTTTGGAATGCCTATTCACCTTGGGTCCGGTTTAAACATAACATAATAGTAACATGACACAACAGTGTGGCAGTATGACTGGCAGCACATTGATTAAAAAACGAATTATATAATACATAGTTGCGTTTCCGAAATGATAGTGTGCGCCTTCCTTGCGGGGTTGTTCCATTACAATCCAGATGGAGGAATGCTAACATCTCCACACATGTTCAAAATAATCAAAAACACGCCGACGGGATAACTTGAAGGGAAAACGCAAACCAGTACCCCCAATCGATTTTAGACAATAAAAATGGTTTCCGATGAAGGATTTCCAGCAATCCATTGACTATTGGAGCTGAGGCACGAAGGTCATGACGAACAAGGTCTCGCGGATCTCTGACCAAACCAAACCTCAGATCTCGTTAATATACACATAGGGCGGGATACCCCAAAAATGGACGGTTTATAATCGAAAAAAGGGTAATTTAGGGGTACCTCTATTTAGGAGACCTACACATAGATCTGCATTAAATGGATTTAAACGGTACACTTGGCAAAATAAATTACTTTACTTCGAGCGACCCCACGGTGACAAAAATACTGTCATACCTGTCTGCCATAGTTCTGACATATATTCTGACATTCTTTCTGGCATATTTTTGCTGGCAAATCTTGCTGGCAGGGAAGAGGACGCGAGGACTTTGATGAAATCTAGAGACGAAGGTCTAGATTTCATCAGAGTTGTCATCTCCTCCTCTTCCTCCTCCTTCTGGTTGAGGTCCGGCAGTGCCCGCTGAGATCCGGAGCTCGCAGTTCTATCTGGCATATCTTCTGACATTTTTCTGGCATCTCTTTCTGGAGCTACCTCGGCTTGCAGCGGCCTCAGGTCCGGCCCTAGAGCTACCAGCGACGCCGGCGAAGCCACCAACCCTTTCAGTCTTGCTGTGGAGATCTTGTCGCCGCCCCCTTGGCGGATCACTTCCTCCTCGAATTCAAAAACACCCTTCAAATTTTGGTATTGAATGGAAAATCACATGTGTGCAACAAGGGAAAAAGGTTTTGCAATTGAAAGTGAGTCTCTGGAATTTGATTCCTTCAGATGGATCCATATTTTTGCAGATTGTTTGGCAGGGAGCCATTGTATTTGTTCTCTATGCTTCATGTTTTCTTCATTAAGTTGCAGATAAGTTGTTTTTTTGATATCTAACCCCAGGACCAATGGAATCGGAAACATATGCTTGATAGCATCGCTATGTTCATTGTTTTGCATACAACTATACATATGGGAATGCGTAAGTATACTCCAATTCTTGCTTCATTTGATATTCATTGGTTTTGGATGCACACTGAAATTGATACAGGCATTGCAAGTCATTATGTACAATATTCTTTCCAAAACCAAATCAAAAGAAATTGGGAGAAATCATGAAGCCCAGTGCCAATTCTAACATCAGATCCAGAGGTGCAAGACAATGGCTAACAAAATCTAAATTGTTGATCTATTTGGATCCAACCAGGGAATCCAATGGCAACCATGATCCATTCACGATGCATAATTTGCTGCAGGATTGGTGACATCAAATCTGACCATCTTCTACGAGTTGAACGAAGAGAAGATGATGCATTTGCTGACATTCCATCGGGTTAACCCTAAGTTTGATGTCATCAATTTGCACATTCATTGGGTGGCCCTGTGCCGCCTATATTGTGGGGCTGCAAGCCGCAGCTTCAACGACTCCGAATCAGTTGAACGAAAACCCAGTTGGTTCAGAACAAGATTCCCCATGGATTACGACCATCCCCGATGTATAAAGGAAAGAATAATCCTGGAGAAAATCGTCAACCAACAATGTAACAAGGGTTCAGCAGCCACTGTTCAATTTTTCTTGATTATGCCCCTCTCTTTGATGGTTGACCATCATATTTGGCTGGTTTAACCAGCACTTTTCATGGGTAAATCCAGAAACCTGGCTGACTTGGCTTCTTTTGATGAAGTAATCCCATCCCTCATTCGCACTAAATAATTAAAAACACTTTATATGGTGACACATATGTTGTTTTATCCCCTGCATCCACCATGGTTTCTGGGGTTAGGGGGCAGGGGTTCACAAATTACATCAAATCCCTTTAAACCGCTATGAATTATCCTATTATAATCCCTTTGTAATCCCATTATAATCCCATTAAACCATATCAAATCACTATAACTGGTTGGTGGTTGAGCCACCCCTCTGAAAAATATGAGTTCGTCAGTTGGGATTATTATTCCCAATACATAGACCAAAAAATGTTCCAAACCACCAACCACCAAAAAATCACCATCTTTAATGGGAAAATCCACTATTTCCATGGCCATTTTCAATAGCTTTTTGATGTTTTTTGTCTGTTCACCAGAGGGTAAACCATATCAAACACTATAAACACATGAAACCCCACCCTCAACGCCAAGGATGACTTCGCCAAGTGCGCCAAGTCGCCGAGCAAGGTACTGGTCCCCAGGATCTGCCTAAAGGAGGTTTCAACCAGCAGAGCCTCTGGGAATTTTACAGTTTGCTATTCAAAAATGATGGGAGAATGATGGGAAAATGATGAAACTCATGGGAAAAAACATGGGAAAAAATGTTGGGAAATCACCAAAACAATGGGATTATCACATTTATGGCTGATTTCATGATATAACCTTAGTTTAGCCTCTGGTAATTTGACAGTTTGCCATGGAAAATGAATGAACATAACCCATCTATAGATATATATATATATATATTTATAGTTGATCTACCTAGTATATAAACATGGTGATTTTTTTAATAACCATTTTAGTTTACCAGAAGATAAATGCGGGCTAAAATGGGGTTTCAACACAAATCATGGGGTTCAATGCAACAAGTTCGAATATATAATTATTCGAGGACACATTTAACAGGTGTCGACCCTAGAAACCTTCCGCCCTGCGATGCGACGTGGAATATTTGGAGATTTGGCAGAGGTATAAGTCAAGTTTCATTGGCATATGATGTGATATGATGGGATGTGTCATAGGATGAGGGTTCCGTAAAACAAATGAATCTGGAAACCGGGAATTGTTGTATCGGCTTTGGCAAAGATGATGGAGGGGTTAAACAATCAGCAAGCAAGGGTTTAGCCAAACACGATGAGTTCAGCTAAAATCGATTGCGAGATTCAACCAAAACACTGGGATCTGGGATCCGTGTACCCAAAATGTCAGGATTGAGTCAACTAATCATGTTGACGTTGTGAAACAACAAAACGTTGCATATTCACCACAGCAAAAGTTCATCCCTACAGCCTACAGATCCTAATAATTCCTGAGAAGATATTTGACCGCCTGAATCATACTACTTGGATTCATAAGTATATGTAGTGATAGTGTTTATAAATTGAACATGGGGAACATGGGAATGTGACCGCAAAACCAATGAATTCCGAATTTGTCAGCTCCAATAAACCCAACAAGGGTCATGCCCTAGTTAGTTGAGTGGGTTTATAAGTTGGTTGACCAGGATTTATAGCAGTATAACGATGTGTATATAAAACTTACAACTAGTAATCACCACCTTGTATCAATTAGTAACTAGTAACTAATAGGCCTCCGCTGGTCACTGTTCATCTACATGCAATTTGGGAGATTTTGGAAGCAAATCTCCACAAGCAAAAATGGCCGCAGGTCCAGCTGCATGAAATGTGTTCAGCACTGAAAATAGTGTACCCCCTACACCCAATGGTTAATGATCATTATCCCTACTAAATGGCTATAATTGGGGGTATACCCCATTTTCAGACATACCCAAATGTGTTCAACACTTCTATAGTTGGACAATGGAACAGAAAATTGCCCTCATGGATGAATGATTGGTCCACGGGAACTGCTGACACAAACAAAATGTGTTCACGCCTGCCCGTTAAGCCGAGCGACCCGAAGTTCAGGACCCAAACACATTGTGCGGCACATGTCCATCTCACCCTGATCAGCATGGCGAATAAAACTCATTTTTGTTGGGTTGTATCCGACAAGTTGTATCCACTTGGCTGAGTAGAAATTTGGTCATGCCCGGATGATGGCCAGGATGATCTTGCTGGTTTCATGAAGCCTAATATTCATCAGACTTCATAAATACGCATGTTTTCCTTTCACAGAAGCGCAGCGCGCAGTAGTACCGCATGTAGCTTTGGGTGACGCAAGGGCGCCCTAGAAACAGAGGCATTGGGCCATAGGATTGCGGATTATTCGATCCTTAAATGAACTGACCTGGCATGGCACAAGATGGGTGTGAACCATACATCGACATATCTATATATGTTCCCAAATCATGTTGATTCCCAGTACCTTTGTCTTGTTCCCATCCCTGTGAGTCGTTGTCGAGTTGCAGTCTCTCATCATCAGGAAAAGCCTCAGCTAAAAGCAAACATCAAGTTGGTGATGGGTTATCTTTCCCATTCTAGTTGGGAATGTCCCCTGTTCTTCTCTGGTTAGGGTTCCCGCACCGCCACCAGCTGTTTACTGTCTCCCCCCATGTTTTTTTGAAGTGGCTTAGTGGGCCTTAAACGCTGAAACCCAATTTACTAAAACTTGCAATCAAGTCTAGCACCTAAAATGTATATAGGATGGGGCCCCATAGTTAGCTAAGTTGGTTTGTAACTATACTAACAATAGTGTATGATACTTATAAATATGTTTAGTTGGGTTATAAACCAAATTATCACTAGGGGCCCCACATTGTAGCCTTCAAACTAATCGCCAGAGGCAAAGTAATAAGCCCAACTTTCGGTTTATAGATCCCCCTGCAGTAGGTAAAATGATGTATAAACCACCTGATATTTCCAGAAATGGGTTGTGCAAACTATGCCCAAGTTTATCTGGCTGACCTATATATTATATACTATATTAGTATATAATATGTATATGTATATATATATATTTCATCTTTATATTATAATATAAAGGACAACCCTGAAATTTACGGACAATTGAATTGAGGATGACTACCCTTTAGACTACCCAATAAACCGAACCATCACAGTCACGTCGGCCAGCCTTTTTAGATCTTTAAGTGCAAAAATCCACCAGCTTCAACAATTGAAGGATGAATTGGAGGATTTTTGAAGGATCAACTTACTTGAATTCCTCCAAAAGTCATCCAAAAACTTGGAAAGTTGTGTCTGGTACCCTGCGTTCACATTTATTAAAACCCTCTCTTCCCAATCCCAGACCTTGGATGGGAATCCTACTTCGTAGCTGTTTTAGAAAGCCATGTATAACCCGCATAAATAAATAAATATATATGTATATATTGTATATAAATATATATATATATACATAGATAGATATTTGAAGACATTTGATGTATAAGTGGCTTAAGTTGAATTTTATGTCTTGCGCCCCAATGATGATTTTGCGGGCCAGCCCGAGGTATCTTCCAAGCTTTTCCATCCTATTCACCGCCCACTTCCAAGGTACCAGGTGAAGGAAATAGACCACCGCCGCCGCGAGCTGACAACACCTCTGAAAGCCTCGGAGCAGCCCAGTGGAAGGATGACGACTTGAGGGCCGTTTTACCCAGGGAATGTATGGGAAAACATGCGGAAAACATGGGGAACATCTGTCAAATGGTGAAGTTATATACATGGGGAATGGTGGTTTATGGCTTTCCTACCATCAGGGATTCTCTACAATGAGGATAGCAAAACCCATATGAAAATGGAGTGATGACCATCTCCAAATATGGTATGCAATCCAACTTTTGCCCATGGCACATGTGGGACAATAGTGATTAAGCACGGGGAATTGCATGCTACTATTACATGCTGTTTCACTAGGTTTTTGTGAATTCAATAATTAAGCAGTGTCAACAACATCATGCAAAATCAGAACAAAATGGATGGTTGTTGGGGGATTTCCTGCTCATGGAATATGATACACCAATAATTATGTGCAATCTAATTGTCAGTCAACAACATATAGAGATCGTTTTTGTTTCCTTCATCAGTGAGAATCCAATACTTGGGGGGCCATCCCAACTATTGAGTGACATTGAGTGATTCACAACCATCAACTTTTATAACCCAGTTATATGTAATGTCAACCCTGGATTAATAAACCCCTAGGTTGTTTAATTGGGAGGGTACCATTTAAGTATCATATTATGACTATTGGAGGGGTACCCCCCTAATTAATAAACCATGGTTTATTATTAGTGCATACCCCAGTTTCATTATCGATTCTTAACAACATACATGAGACGCACATCCAATCCCTTCGGAGTCGCGAGTCGCAATGTCGGCAAGAAAGCAATGGGAAGCTTAGCATGGGTTAGAAAAAACGCGTATGGACCCGAAATCGCGTATGGTTGCAAGTTAATTTGAGACATGTTGAGACTCGAGAGGGGTACCACTTGGGTTCCTGAAGAATGCTCTTTACGTTGGTTTTGGGATGCTGATTCCAACTGGCTTGGTATTTGAAACCAACTTTGAAAGCAGAATCCTTCCTCGAAGAAATGTGGATTTCTTATGCAAGACTGCAAGAAACTGTGACAAAACAACAGGATTGCTCCAAAAAAACCAGGTAAGTTTGGGGAGTAGATTAGGTACCTGCTGGTATTCAAACATGACGTTTAAAAGCCTATGTCTGGGTAAGTTATAATATTTCACTAACCTGAATTAAGGCAACCGATCTTCCCTTTGGCCGCCCCCCCCCAAGCAAGCCCTGAATTAAGGCCATTTGGGGATGATTCCCCTTACTAACCATGATTTCCAGTGAGGTCGCAGTGAGGTCGTTATAATTTACCCAGCTATGTGTGTCGTTTTAGTGAGAAAATCATCTATACATGCATAACTTGCCACTGCCATGTTTGATTATTAGAGGGTAAATAAAGAGGCAAAATGACTGATTGTTTAACCCAAAAGTGGCTATCATGTGGCTTTATCTGAAAATCGGGTACCCCCGTTCCATCCACGAGTGAATCATTATTGGATGTCCATTCTAATGGACTAAATGTGATGTGTATATATATATGTTCAGACAGACCCTACTTGGTGGTTTTAACCATCTTGAAAAATATGAAAGTCAATGGGAAGGATTGTCCCATATATTATGGAAAATAAAAAATGTGTGAAACCAACAACCAGCAAAGGTCGGTTGGCACATTATTTTCCGCACCCCGGAACTGCAAGGCCAGGGTTCTGCAGATGAATCGTCTGGATGAACAGTGATACTTTGGATTCATAAAGGCCGTGACGAAGCGACCTTTAAAAAAAAACAGAGGTGCAAAGTTGAAGGGAGCATCCTGCAAAAAACAATAGCTAAGCTGGCTAAAAACTATTGTTTATAGTTTTTAAGTAGGATTTATGATATTCATAGTTAATGAAATATAATGTACAAAATGGATGGTCGAAAGTGCAACTCAAATACCCCCCCTTGTGGTTATGTAGCGGTGAAAGAAAATTCCCGAAGCAACCCTGAAAATATGGAATAAATGCTACACTCCATTGTTTCATGGGGGATCTCAAACGTTGACCTACAATTCTTCGTGCAGCTGCAAAACAAAAAAACATGTCAGAAACCAGCGCAACCTGACTTCAGATTGCATGTTCTTGTGTCTTCCGTCCCCCAAATTGATGGTTATATTATATAATATGTTATATACTGTGGATGGAGGAAACCCTGCACCAGTTGGTAAATGGTGTATCCCATTACAATCCCATTATTAGCTGTGTGTCATAGTTATCTAATAGTTGCCAACTGGTGCAGGATTTCGCCACCATCCACAGTATCATGTTATATCTCCATTTGTTTATTGCTCACATGAGCCATTAAAAATACCCCTATATATATATATATCCATCCATCCCAGGCCCTATCCCATCTCATTGCCTTAGTTGGTTCTATGGGCTATCATAATCCCCAATAAATTAGTAGTAAACTCCCTATGTGAACCAATCAACCAGGGTATTTTTAATGGCTCAGATACCTCAGATATGAGTAGGATAGAACATGGTCACCACATGACTACCCTAATGAGTTGCGGCCTTAAATCCCTGCAGTTAGGCCCATCTGACCTAACATTGGCACAAGCTGGTGCCCCCACAAGCTATACGTTGGTTTAGAAACCTCCATGAACCAAAGTTATACCATTAAATACTTACTGGTGCTTAGCGGGGAATTTTCGGGAATGATCCATAATCACTAGTAATAATCATCCCATTCCCCCATTCCCATCCATTCCCTACTAAGCACCAGTGAGAATACCATGAGCTCAGCTGTAAATCAACTTGACTAGGAATTCACCCTGGATGACTCAACAAACAAGCAGCATGTGGGCCGAAAACCCCAAGACGTGTTTTTTTTCCGCACAGTGGTCTTAGTTTTTAAGTATTGACCAACAGGAAGTCTTTGCCATGGCCAATTTCATCTAAAAGCAGTCGGATGTGGGATGACCAAATATCCGACAAGATCATGGTTCCCGGAAAAGATCAAAACAATCTGCATGGATCGCTCATGAACTATCCACTGCTGGGGCTTCCAGAGCCTAGGCGAATCGTATTCACCCCCCCACAATAGGTGACCCAAATCTCATCGCGCAACTCTACCAGTTTATCTGAAGAGTACCCGTCAGATTGGTTCGTCACACGTTTCCCTCGTAAAATGGCCATGAACTGCGGTTTATTATATTACTGGTTGGTGGTTTCGACCTCTCTGAAAAAATGAAAATCAGTTGGGTGATTATTCCCAATATATGGAAAAATAAAATTCATGTTCCAACTCAGATTAACATTTTCAGATGCAGATTTGCTCACAAGATTCCTCAGCCATGTTCAACTCAGCACTGCGGCCCATGCCAAGCGACCAATGAAGTTCAGCACGAAGAACATGACCATCGGAAGCATCAGCATGTCCCACAGCATAGCCTGACTTCTCCGACTTCGCTTGGTGCTTTAGTGAGCCAATCCCAAAAAGGATGAACATCTACCCTTTGGTTATTTAACGTAGCTATGCAAAATGGCCCATTTATAGATAATTTACCAGTAGTACCGCACAAGGCGGTGGCGGAAGTTTCAAAAATAGGAAACCTATAGGAGAGGTTGGTTGTTGTGAATCAGGGATGGCAGAGCGAAGCCACTGATGGAGCGAAAGGTGATTGATCTCTCTCACTATTTCTTTCTCTTTCTCTGATTATCTACCTACCTACCTACCTATCTATCTATCTATCTCTCTCTCTCTTTCTCTATCTCTATCTCTCCTTCATCTGTCTAGCTGTCTACCTGTCTATCTGTCTATCTATCTATCTGTCTACCTGTCTATCTGTGGTGCAGTGTCATTCAGTGTAATGTAGTGTAGTGTAATGTAGTGTGGTGTAGTGGAGTTAGTAAGTAGTGTAGGGTTAGTTGTAGTGTAATGTAGTGTAGTGTGAATGTAGATGTTAGGAATTTAGTGTTAGTGGCCATGGTAGTGTAGTGGAGTTTGTAGTACAGTTCGTAGTGGAGTGTAGTTGTGTAGTGGTAGTTTGTAGTTGTAGTTGTAAGTTGTAGAGGAGTGGAGTGTAGTGTAATGTAGTGTAGTGAAGTGTAGTGGAATGTAGTGCAGTGTAGTGTAATGTAGTGTAGTGTAGTGTAATGTAGTGTAGTGTAGTGTAGCTTAGTGTAGTGGAGTGTAGTGGAGTGTAGTTGTGTAGTCGTAGTTCTAGTTGTAGTGTAGTGAAGGGTAGTGTAATGTAGTGAAGTGTAGTGAAAGGTAGTGTAGTGTAGTGTAATGTAGTGTAGTGTAGTGTAATGTTGTGTAGTGTAGTGTAATTTAGTGTAGTTGAGTGTAGTGGAGTGTAGTTGTGTAGTTGTAGTTGTAGTGGAGTGGAGTGTAGTGTAGTGTAATGTAGTGAAGTGTAGTGGAAGGTAGTGTAGTGTAGTGTAGGGTAATGTAGTGTAGTGTAATGTAGTGTAGTATTGTGTAGTGTAATTTAGTGTAGTGGAGTGTAGTGGAGTGTAGTTGTGTGTGGTAGTGTGTGGAGGGTAGTTGTGTAGTTGTAGTGTGTGTAGTGTAGTGTAGTGTAGCGGAGTGGAGTGAAGTGAAGTTAGTGGAAGGTAGTGTAGTGTTAAAGTAGTGTAGTGTAGTGGAGTGTAGCGTATGTAGGGTAGTGTAGTGTAATTTAGTGTTAAGAAGCGAAGCGGAAGCGACAATTCTGAACATCCAAAAGGGTACCGAAACCCGAGGTGCTTTACATTTGACCTTCAAACTGGTTAGCGCCACAACGGCGTGCACTTTTTCGACATCGCAACTTCCAAAAGTGGTCCGAAGCTGGTGTGTTTTGTACATTTTGACTTGGAAATGTGCTTCGCGCCACAACGGCGTGCAATTTTCATCTCTCATCTGGCCAGCTGGCTCCGCACCCGCCGCTTTAGCGAGCCTACTTTTCGACCCTCCGGAGCCCCAAATCATTGGAAAAACAGAGTGTTTCGCGACTTTCCTACCTTTTCGCGCATCTGCATCTTCTTTCTTCTGACTCTTTCTCTTCTCTGATCTTCTCTCTTCTAATCTTTCTCTTCTCTCTGCCTCTTCCCTGCTCTGCTTTTCATCTGTCCATATTGTCGGAAGTTTGACTTCTAAACTTCCTTCGATGAGGATTTACCTATAAAAAAGAGTGATTTCCCATGCTACGTTAAATGACCAGAGGGTACATGTTATTGAAATGTATGGTGATTCCGTCCGGGAAGCTTTACACCAAAACCTTGAATGCAGGCATCATTTTTTGGGGGTGTATGTCAGATCACCTGACTCAGGGATAGTGAAATGTAACTAAAGAGGGACGCTATGTGGGAATCATGGCGTTATATTCTGGTATACTATGGCATGTGGGTATATTACAATCCGATACAATGGGGAAACATAGATATGAAATAGATCAGATATCAACTCATACTACTTATGGGCATAAGCAACATGTTGTTATGTTGTTTAAACCCGTATTAAACCACCATGCTTCATATGGGGTATAACAACCACTGTTAAACCACACATGGTCAACAAGGCCACGCCGAGCTGGGCCTCGGGTTGAAGCTGAGGGATACTCCGCAGCATGGCGAAACTCACGTGCATCTGGAGGTCAGAAGGTTTTTTTTTTGCGGCGCAAAATGATGGGAAAATTTTGGGAATGTTCTGGGATTTAATGGGGTTTAATGAGGTTTTATGGGGTTTAATGGGGTTAGTTACGGATGTTAGGGATATTATTATTCTAAATGGGATTTGTTATGGGATTCAATAGGATGTTATGTGATGCAATGGGCTTAGCATTTTTTTTTATAGGATCAAGTTATCTACTTAACGGGAAAGAAACCCTCTGGGAATGAGCAACACAACTTCCTGCGGAAAATGATGTTGAAACGGTAAATCACGGGCGAATTAAGCCACAGAACGCGGTATGATTTCTCAGAAATGCAGGTCGGGATAGTTGTGTGATATGTAGTATGGAGAATCAAAGCTTGGGATAGTTGTGTGATTTCATCCAAAACTGGTTGCTGGTGCAATAGCCATCTTGAAAAATATGAAAGTCAATAGGAAGGATTATCCCATATATTATGGAAAATAACATTAATGTTTAAAACCACCAACCAGAAAACAATACGGAGTTAAGAAGCACAACTGGAATAAATAGTATCTACCAAAATGGGCGATGAAGCACCAACAAATGGCTTCTGAAAACATTTCAAGTAACATATGTTTGTTTAACAGTTCAAGCCTAAGCAATGAATGGATATTTCATTTGTCTTGAAACAGGAAAAGCACCAGTAAAAACCTTGTGTTTTGTTCAAGGTTTAACCAACCAAAACTGGATACTTTACCATGAGAACAGGTGGTTTCGGAAACACAAATGGTTGAACTCCCAAGAATGCCAAGTTATCTTTAAGAACACAGCAAACCGACTTGCGATTTGACCACCGTAATTTGTACTTTGATTGCTTAAGTGGATATAAGCGCAAACACGAAAGTACGGAACCATCTAACCCGTATATAAAGACAAGATGGGGCCTCCCCAAGAGATATAAGTGGCTGAATTCTATGGGTTTATGGCAGAAATAACTATCTGGTTGGTGGTTGAGCCACCCTCTGAAAAATATGAGTTCGTCACTTGGGATGTTGACATTCCCAACTGAATGGAAAAACTAAAATTCATGTTCCAAAGCACCAACCAGCCAAGTAAACATCATACATATCTTTGTCTGAAAATAGGGGACATCAAAAACAGATGGCCATCTTCAGAGGGAACATCAAAAAAAACATAGGAATTGGAGGTACCCTATTTTGTTATGGGGATTTTGTTGTCCATAAACCAACATTCACATCACTGCTGAGCCAAGCCCTGGAGCCACATCAACATATAGCATAGAGTTAGAAAGCCCTTAGCAGTTAATGGGGTGAAATAACTTCTGCAACTAAAGTTATATACTTCATGAGGTTATAAGTTATAAGTCAGTTATATAAATGTTAGGGGCTCTAACTGTAGGAAATTGACATCGTGTGCTGTGGCTGAAACTCCAAAAAAGGCGGGAACGAAATTGGAACTGGAAAACTGCAAAGAGCAACCCCACCATTGACCTGACATTTATCCATGATTCAACGGTTGATGAACCACACATTGCATCCAATCATTTACAACAAACAACGCCACAGATGTGCCACAGAAAGGAACAGAATTAACACCAATTTGCCCCAAAAAATAGACAAATACATTCACCACACCAAAAAAAAAGAATATGCGCTCCGGTAATCAAACGTTGCAATTGGAAATCCATAGAAAATCCCTTAGAAATGGAGGTTTTAATTGGGAAATCATCGAAGTAGATGGCGGATGTGCAACGTTTGATGATGGGAGGGTATCCTCACTGCAGCACAAAAATGCGATCTCCCATCATTGGCCCATCACCGAGCCGCTACGGTGCAAAGGCCCAAGACCTGAAAGTTCCGTCCAGTGCAACAAAACAACCAGAATTGGTATGTCTTAGATAAAAAACAAAACAGCAAATGAGTACATCTCAAAGAAGTTCAAATCAATTCAAACAGAAGCTAAACCATGGTATACAATGGGAAACATATGTACAGTATTGTACAGTACACATATTTTCATACAAATGGGTCCGCAAAAAAATCATGACTTCTACAACGTTGAATCCCAATTTTGCAAACGGTCAAAGTGGTAAAACATGGTGAAGCCCATGTCTTGTGACTTGGATGCCTCGAGAAAACTACCAAAGTTGGGCAAAATGGGTCGGTCCTTGGGGATGCCCCAAATGGATCGGTCCATGGCTTTTCTTGGGCAATCTTACCATCCCCGTGGGCCACAAATCGATACATGACTTGGATTGACTTGGGGTATTTTAAAACCAATCCTTTCAAACTAACATAAACTAACAAACAAACAAAACATATTAAAACACTGCAATTCTCAGGGTCGAATTGTGGAACTCTGGTGGAAATCTTTGGGAAATCTCGCATTCCAAGGCGCGAAGAGATATTCCCTTGGTGGCGCGGCCGCGAAACTGGAATCAGTCGGTGCGCACCATCAAATCCAGCAGATTTCAAGTGTTTACCCTCTGGTAAACTAACATAACAATGGAAAATCACCATTTTGAATGGGTAAACCCACTATAAATGGCTATTTTCAATAGCTATGTTAGTTTACCAGAGGGTAATAGCAAGCCGTTATTGCCACTTGGGGATTGCTATCCGAAAACAACATGGAAAAACATGGAAAAAACACATGATATTCACTACGACGCTAGCCGCTAGCACTCATGCATGTTTGGCTTGTCCAAGATAATTATTGTAGGAATTAATTTCATTGACCCATAGGATCCATGGTGCTGCTATATATGGTGTGCCATGGATCCCATCAATATCCCCCAGTCATGTTAGCATATATACCAGCACCATGGATCCGTCATGGGTGATATCATGGAGGTGGAAAAGGTGTCCCTCGGAGATTTGGTGATCAATTGTGAGCGAAAAAATAATACATGACGTGACATAACCCACATCATTCCACTAAGGGTCCCTAAAAACACCTTGATGTTTTTTTTTCGCTTTCTCAATACGAAAAATAAGCTGTCTGAATTGCAGTAACATGCAGTAACTCATGAACTTGAAATCGGGTCATATTGTAATGGTTCCCTTAATCATAATCAGTGCCGTCGCAAGGAAATCACACAGAGAACTCCAAAATCCATCCCAGATGGCAAAAACCACCAAAAAGCATTGCGGCCCTTCATCAATGAATTGGAGAATTGAAACCGGAAAGCCCCATAGAAATCATGGGAAATTTCGCTTTTTTTTCGGTGATTTCCCAAGAAGACCAATCCATTGACTTCATAACGAATGTTGGAGTCATGGGCTAAAAAAAAGGCCATGCGCAGTCTGCAGCCGAATTGTTCAGCTAGCAAAAGAGAATTTTAGTGGTATTTAGACAGTGACATTTTTCACAAAGTGAGTCACAACTTCCCCAAAAAATCACTTTGTTTCAAACCAAACTAATTGTTGACAGTTGAGATCATCCCAGGGAACCATTGTTTTTTTTCCATAGAACATACCCTCTGGTTTTAAATCCCCAAACTAATTATATTAGGACGGTTTAAATGGGGTTTAATGGGATTATCATGGGGTTTTATTTGGGATTTCATGGGATTATAATCCACTTAATGGATCCCTGTGTGCATTCTGCAGAGAAGTTGTGCCCACTAAACCGTTTACAAACACAGCCTTATACTACAAAATGACGCTTGAATCTGAACCAACCCCCCTTGCTACAAAATGGGTTGGGGGTTTTTATGGTGGATCAAAAGCCAATGTCGGTCACTACAAAATGACTTTGCGTACCCATTTTGTAGTGAAAACGGGTTGCAGTGAAACATCATGATTCTCTACTAAATGGCTTCTGGAAATTTCACTCTCAATCTTTGGTTCCCTTTCTGGGGCCCAGGTCATAGTATTTGCCAAGCACAAATAAATACAACCTTGGGATTTCCATCGGATTCCAAGAATTGACCTTTCAAAAAAGGTTTGACAAAAACACGGCGCAGAGGTTTTGAACTGCAATCGCCAGAGCTATGGGGCAGCAAAAACGATCTAAGCGCACAACTTCAGATTCAATTGATCGGTTTTGAAACCAAATCTGTCCCATTTTTCCTTCTTATAGTCTCTACATAAAAAGCATGCTTTTCGAACTTTTTGGGACTTATCTGGAGGGGGGCGCAGTAGGTTCTACAAAAGGTTGTGCACGCGTGTGTCACTACAAAATGCAATGCATGACACAAGTCATCCAGAAACTAGGACATCACGCATCGAATCTGTGCTTTGTGACATTGTGGGTGAAAGGAACTCTGAGCATGGATTCGTTGAACTTGGGTGAAACTTGACTATTGGACAAAAAGAGCAGGAACCTAGTAGAAGGGGATAGATTTAGATTTTAATTAATAATCGCATGTGATGGCCAAAAAAGGTGTGACAAAAGCACGGCGCAGAGGTTTTGAACTGCAATCGTCAGAGCTATGGGGCAGCAAAAACGATCTGAGCGCACAACTTCAATTTCACTTGATTGGTTTTGAAACCAAATATGTCCCATTTTTCCGTCTTAAAGTCTCTACATTATTTGTTTTTTTTCGATTTTTTGGGGGCTCATCTTACCACGAAATAATCGTGAGTCAAGAGCCAAAAATGGTCTGAGGGTTCGAGCTATATGTTCATGTAACAGGGCATGACCGGCAAAAGAGGGCTTTGGGGTTTCCGGTACGACACATCGCATCCCAAAATAAATCACTACAAAATGCATTTCCGATTTTTGAGTGCCAAATGGAACGCCACTACAAGATACAGTGCACGCCCTTTTACTACAAAAACTGGTGCACGGGTCCATTCTTTTTGCTTGAATTCTCCACGAAACAGGGGATGGTATCAAGCACGTGTTCACCCTTTTAGTAGTGGAAATGGTAAGGGGGATCTTAATGGAACATACCCTCTGGTAAACTAACATAGCTATGGAACATGGTTCATAGCTAGTTCGTTGGTTTACCAAAAACTTCATGGTGATTTTCCATCGCCTTTTTGTATGTTCGCCAGTACTTTGAAACCACCAGAATTCGCGTCCATCACATTTTTTTTCCCCGGTGCCGTTTGGGTCTCCAGTTCGCAAAAATTCCGAGACGCTCACCGGAATTCAGCATGGCTAACAATCTGGCCAAACCTGCGTTCGTTCACAAAAAAACATCACCTTCTGGTTGGTGGTGCGATAACCACCTTGAAAAATGATGGAGTTCGTCAATGGGGTTGGGATGACATCCCATATATGAAATGGAAAATAAAAACATGTTTGAAACCACCAACCAGATCACCGTACTGGATGATTCATAACGATCCACATAGATCCACTGAGTTTAGATTTTACAACAAGGTGTTTTTCAGTGAAATCACTCATCATTTGTAAAATTGGATAGAACTTGTCCTTGTATTTGTTTCCTTGAAGAAGTTCTGGGAAAGGCTGCATATCCTTCTTAAACATGTGGTACCTGGATGATGTGCCAAGAAAATCCGGCTGTCCGAGGCTAAACACATCTAGGGCCCCTATCCCATCCCAGTCTGCTGATTGGTTGATAGGGATTCCCAGAATGGACTATGATAATCCCCAACTAACCAGGCAGTAGTTCAATGGCAATTTCAGGAACCTAAATCCGAGGTACCTACCATATGTAAGGCCTATATAAGGCCTATGTAAGGGAATATCCCCACAAAATATGGTCTTGTATGGTACAGTACCTCTATTTTAGGATCCTGAAATTCCAATTGAGTAGTATAATTAATCCCCTAATGTTCGGGTACGATTAATACACCCCTCATGAATAAAGTACGCCAACTGATTTTTGACTTGTTGTTTTTCGTTGTTTTTCTCCGTTTTGTTTCCGTCAATTAGGCAATTCATTTGGGCACCACATAGGTCTGGAAAATTTCCCAGGGACCCCCGGCCATTGTTTGGCCTAAACTTGATTCACATGCCCATAATGTTTTGGGGGGGTTATTAATCACACGTCAACATTAAGCAATCAACAATGGTATGTTTAATGGCTCAAATGAAATTTGCAAAGGTTATGGCAACAACCCCCAAAAAATCTGAGGAAGTAGTCCTTGTTGTCTGTTCACTGAACCATCCTGTATCCTCTTGGGTTGATCTCGTCCTGTTGCGTCTCCACAAATCAACTGCTGAATCCACATGCGAACCCTTTGCGATAGCCCCATTGTTTGAGTGGAAAACAAGTGAACGCAACTCATCGCTGAAATATGTTGAAATACTTAGCAATTGGGTCACGGCTACTGACGAAATCATTAATCATGACGAAATAGTATTATATCTAATTAATTTCAATTGGGTCGCCACAGTCAGCTGAGCAAAGAATCGTAACATCTCATCACAATTCCAGGAAATGGCAACTTAGCAATTCAAAGAATGGATTGAACATATTGAAAAGGAGCATTAGAAAAACATGCCCAGAAGCAAAGAACTATAGGATTCTAAAGGATTTAACACTCATTTGCATGGGGATATCATTGATAAATGATGGTTGGTTTTTCTGATTGTTCAATGTTGATCCTCTGAGAATACTCTGCCGTATGGCAACCCATATGGCATCCACCCTGCTGGTCATTGTTGTTGCCCGAACTTTCAACTTTGCTAAAATATGCTACTATTGTAAGTCATGACCCTTAACAGTTGAATTGGGATGAAATAAGTCCTGTAACTATAGTTGGTTGGATATCATGAAATCAGCCAATTATAATCCCATTGCCATCTGGTTATGACTAACATAGCCATGGAAAATCCCAACCATAAATGGAAGTTTTACTGGGAAACTCATCTATTTTTATGGGCCATGGCTTCCATGGCTATGTTAAAAAACCAGAGGGTATATTTAGTGATGACCCATCATGTTTCGCCGATCCAATCCCGAAGAAGTCCGACGCAAGCAGCGCTTGTCAGCAGCGCCTGGATACTTCTGGCGTGCCAAGCCGGCCTGGCACTATGGAAAACATGGCAGTCATGGCAGTGCCAGATTTGTTTCTTTGGTAGCTGCAGTTCACCTACAGATGTTGAACGTGTTTGAAAGGGTTTGTTACAAAAGAACACTTTAGATCACTAAAGGTGTAGTTACAGATCTGTTTCAGTCTTTCAGATTTTGGGAAGCTTTGAAGTTGCCATGATTTTTTTCAGACCTGCCGCAGGGCTGAACCGCTGAACCTCGACCTTTCTGGACAAAGCATACAATTCCACAGAGGCGTCCGCCCTGAATCCAATCTCCGTTTATGAATGGAGTTTTTACTAAATTCCAATGATGAATGGTGTGTGTCTAAAAAAAAGGTACCAGTACCCCTAAATCCATTTTACTTAATCACACATGTTCCCTATTCACCATTGCAATGACTTTGGGGAACACCCCCATTTACAGACACACCTACTGTATATAAATATATACATACAATATATATATATATGTATCCCATCATATGCCAGTGTTTGTGGGTTATGTCCATTATCAATGGTTCTGGGTAAATCATAATATATCACTAACCTGAAATAAAGCCATTTGGGGATGATGTCCCTCATTAACCATGATTTCCAGTGAGGTCGTAGTGAGGTCGTTATAATTTGCCCAGATGGTAAGTATGTTGCAGTCAGTATCAAACACTTATGGTCCCGATGGTGGAGAACAACCTCATTAAAGCAATAAGGACACGCATTGCCATCATTACTTGACCCACATCTCCAAATTTACCCCTCCAGTGAATTAACATGACGACCCTGGCAGTTGTCGGGGTTGGAAGGTTAGATTGTTTCAACTGAACAAATGCTATTTTCACAATGCGGGGCCTCCGTTCGATAGCAAAGTTGGTGCAAATAACTACAATTTCACTAGGAACTTTATGGTAGTTGTATCAAAAAGATAAACTACAATAACTAGGCTTTATGGTAGTTGTATCTATACGTAGTTAGATGGGCTTATTGGCACCAAATGTTAGCATAACGTAGCTTTGGGGGCCCACATTGCAGGGTCTATGGGGACATGATGTACTCACCGACTCACCAGTTCCGCAGCATCGCAGTTTCAGCCCCTGTTGAATTTATGATCATTAACCCCCAAGGAAAAAAGGAAGAAAGTATAGGGCAGTAGAACCTACGACCAATCATTTAAAACAATAAACTAATGTCCTTCCCATTTTGGTCAACAAAAACATGTAGATGATGAGTACATCCAATTCAAATCCCATGAAACTGGCTCAACCAACAGGGCTTGAACGCAGCCACCTTCGTATAGCCCTGGCGGTGCCGCTCGATGGCCGTGCCAACGACTTGCCTGGAAGATGGAGGCTGTTTCAAAATCTACATGGAGGTTTCCTAAGTCATGTGGGTACCCCAACAGCGATTTACAATGGAAAATCCTACTAAAGTGGATGATTTTGGGGTTCCCTATTTTAGGAAGCCCCCACATGACAGTTTCAAACCCAGAAAATCCTAAGAATACACCTGCACAGCGACATGATCCAGGTCTCTCACCCTTCACAGATTCCGCTTCTGCGTGTTCTCCTTATTGCACCATGTTTCAATCGAGTCATAGTTTTCTTCTGTATATACAGGGTGCTGCCCCCAGTTGTAAGTTGGTTTATAGACCCCCAAAAAAACTACAGACATATTTACCATGAACCCTAATCAACCTACTTATGAGAAATCTAGGGGGCCCAAACTGCTGAATGGCCATGGCCAGTTCAGCTAAGGGACGGCTTAATTTTTGTTGGAATGAAAGGGGTGTGGTATGGTGGAATAAGCATCCGACTAAAATGGCAGGCATCTCCATCACGTTTGGTTCAAAACCACGTTCTTTACGGAAATCATCTTTATACTTCAAATGCTAATCCAATTACTGCAAAGTATCTCAGGGCACAGGGTATAACACGTGGTGGCTTTTCCATTGCTATGATTGTTTGCATTCAGCGATTGTTTTTTTTTACTATTCCACTAACATGCAGCCGCAGGAAAGCTGAGGTACCTAGGTACCTGCGAGGTGGATCGCATAAAACGATAGCGTCCAGGTGGGGATCCACCATTTGGATTCTTGGATGTGTATCCCACTTAGGATCCGTGGTTTATAATCCAGACATAACTTATATTTCATCCTGTCAATACCTGGGGTTATTCCAGATATCACTGGGGGTATAACCTATTTACCAAGTAGGATGTACCCAAGTTTCCAATGGCCACACTTTATATCCATCACAACCCACCGCCTGAAACGGCGTCGTAAAAGAATCTTCCGGACGAGACGGATGATCTTGCACATGGCCTCCCGGTGATTTTGGACGGAACATCATGTCTAAATCCTAAATGGTATAATTCCACGAAAATTCCTTTATGAACAGTGTATATTTAAATGTATGTAATGTAATGCAGTGTGATGTAATGTAAGGTAATGTAATGTGACGTAATGTGATGTAATGTAATGTATATAATGTAATTTAATGTAATGTAATGTATGTGTGTATGTATGTTCCTCAAATTATGTATATATATATATATATATATTAAAAACTAAAATATATAATGTGTAATGATACATATATAATATAAAATATATAACGTATAATATAAATAAATAAATAAATAAATAAATAAATAAATAAATAAATAAATAAATACATAATACATCATATATAACAGAAAATATTATATATATAAATAACATGTAATATAAAACATATAATATATAACATATAATATAAAACATATAATATATAACATGTAATATGAAACATAAAACATATAACAATTAATGTAAAATATGTAATGTAATAAATAATATATACGATATAAAAGAAATACAATATACAATATAACAAAATATGTTCTATAAAATATATAATATCTTAAATATTATATATTATGCAATATATAGAAACATCCCTGAAAATAAAATATATGTTGTATAATATGTAGATAAACGGTGATAAACGTGAAACATGTAGATTTGGGCTGAGTTGCTGGATATAACATGAACTAACTAGCAACACTGTAGGGTTTATGGTGGTGAAGCCAAAAAACACCATCAAATCCGACAAGTGTGTTGGTTTACTGTATGTCTAATGATATCCCATCATATCCCGGTTTATAGATGATGTTCAACATTCTTAGACCCATTTCAACCTTAGACAGACCTATATCAAATGGCTGGTGATCCATATCACGACCTGTCTTGAAGTAGATACTGGATCTTGAAGAAGATTAGGATTAGAATATATTATGGACTATGATAGATAGATAGATAGACAGATAGATAGATAGATAGATAGACAGATAGATAGATAAACAGATAGATAGATAGATAGATAGATAGATATTATAGTGTATTTTACATATAGTATGCAATGTTCGGATTTGAACATATTTCATATCTAGGAACATGATATCATGTGTCCTAAAGCATATTTTACAGATCTTTATTCGGCCATGTGGTGATGACTTCCCCAAATCCCATTTTTTCTATGGTGAGATCAAAGGGGTGTTGCTATTTTCTTTACCTAGCCTAGACCACATTTCTGGATAACTTGTAACTGGTTGGTGGTTTTAACCATCTTGAAAAATGTGAAAGTCAGTTGGGATGGATGATCCCATGTATTATGGAAAAACAAATCATGTTTGAAACGACCAACCAGATAATCATTCACAAACCTGAAATAAAGCGATTTTGGGATTTTAGTTACTCATATCCTATGCATCATCATTCCAGTGACGTCACAGTGAAGCGCTTCTAATTTATCCAGTGGTTTCTAAACCCCAATACATGGTATACATCCTTACCCACAATAGGAGATTTCAGAAACCCCAATATACTTCTCCCTCACCATGCGTTTTTGACCCTGCTGTGACACTGCTCATCTGGCTGAAATATAATCACAATAAATAATTTGCCAGCCCAAAAACAGCTGCAATAAGACCTACTGTCTTCCCTTGCGCGGCCCGACCCCAACAAAGCAGCAGAGCCGAACCGTGTCCCTACTGTCGACAATCTCAAAAAGTGAACACAATCAAAAGCAATCCAACCACAAACAGCAACAAGGCAGACCAACAACACAGTGCACACAATACACAGTAGAATCACAACAAAATTCATTAAAGATCAGTGGTTTATACCCTGATTATCCTATCAGGTACGTTCAAGTCAGTGGTTTGTGGGATAATTGTTCAAATTCAAACTGAAATAAGTTCAGAGGCTTTCAGGTGTCTTCAATCTGGCTTTTTTTCTGGGGCTAAAAAAGAATTGGCGTTGAACTCCCCTGGACTATCGCAAATGAACTAATGGATTAATGATTTAATGACCATGCCCCAAGAACTGGGTACACAATCCAAAAAAAATGGATAACATGGCACATATCTAGTTGGTGCTTGTGGGTTCATACTCCACTTATAAATATGGTGCCCAGCCTTATCTATTTGTGCCATGATCTCTAATATGGGTTATCATAGTTTATACCCAAAAATAGGTTTTAAATTTGGTTATAAATGGCAGAGAACGAGCAAATGCGGTGGGTTTGGGATTTTGCCACTTCATGCCACTTCATGCCACTTCCACTTCGAGTGGCGTATGCCACTTCGAGTGGCGTTTGCCACTTCGAGTGGCGTGCTGACTGTGTAGCCTTCGCGTTCCGAGTGGCGTATGCCACTTAAAGTGCAAGCTTTGTAGTACAAAGTAGTACTGCTGGTCCTTTGTGCAACTTTTGTAGTGCAAAGTAGTCAGTTAGTGACTTAGTTAGTTAGTTGATTAGCTAGTCAGCTAGTCGGCTAGTCAGCTAGTTAGCTACCTAGCTATTTAGCTAGTTAGTGAGTACGTTAGTTCGTTAGTTAGTTAGTTAGTTAATTAGTTACTTAGTGAATAAGCCAGTTAGTTAGTCAGTTTGTTAGTTAGGTAGGTAGGTAGGTAGGTAGGTAGTTTGATAGTTAGTCAAGTTAAGGTAAGTCAAGTTATTTAGTTAGTGATTTCATTAGTTGCCTAGTTGGTCAGTTTGCTAATTGGTTAGTTCATTGGTTGGACGATTGGTCAGTTAGATAGTTAGTTAGTTATGTACTTAGGCAGTTCATCAGCTAGTTAGTTAGTCAGTCAGGCAGTTAAGTGGGTAGTTAGTTCGTTAGTTATTTGGTTAAGTAATTAGTTAATTCGCTAGCTGGCTCCTTAGTCAGTTCGCTAGTTACTCAACGAGTTTCTCCAATTAGTTCCTCAGCTGCTGAGTAAGGGAGTCAGTCCTCCAGTCAATCAGTAAACCATTCAGTTGATCAGTTAGTTACTTTGTCGGTTAGTCAGCTAATCAGTGAGCTTGACATGCAGTCGGACAGTCAGCTAGTCAGTCTGCTAGCTAGTCAGCCAGTTCATCACTCAGTTGGTTAGCTAGTCACACAAGTTGATGAGGACCGTTTTGTCTGTGCATCAGTCCGTCCTCTGTCCATCACACTGTCACATCTCTCCTATAGTTTTTTTGGAAACTTCTGCCGCCGCCTG